TCCGACCAGCGTGCCGCTCTCCAAACGGGACAAGCGACGCAGCGCGCTTCAGGAGCGTCTTCAAGACCTGACGGCTTCCTTCAGTCAGAACCGAGACACCCAGTTTCGGCAACAACTGCATGCCCTTCAATGCGACATGACCCTAATCAACAATGCGGATCCTTACGAGCCGGGTCCGCTTCCCGATTCCGCGGACGAAATTGCACAGCTGATTGAGAATACTGTCGGCGGAGGGAAATTCGCCAAGGAGATGGCTAGTCTGGCGGGGATGTGGTATTCGCGATTCGTGCAGGAAGTAAACCAGGCCAAGGCTGAAAAGGATGCAGATTTAGCGATGTTGGCAGTAAGTTTGGGTTCTTTCTTGATTTCTGCACCCCCCCCTCTCCCTCCCCCAAACGGCCCCGGTTTGGCCTGCCCATGCTAATGAACCTTCTTGCCTAGCATCGTCATACCAACAATCTGGAAAGATTTCAACGGGAGTATGCGTTCCGCGTTCACTTCGCCGAAGAAGAATACAAGCACCTCGCAAATACCCTCCGCGAACGTCTCGTCCAGACCATTACCGGCAAACGGGCCCGTCTAATGCGGGAGAAAGAGCAGTTGGATCTGGCTGACACCAACGCTCTGCTCCTGCATCCGAACCAGTTCAGCATCACCAATCCTGCCAGCCCAGGTGGCATCCACGGTAACCGAAAGACGCGGCACACTCGCCATCGTGTCGATCTTGAGCTCGGCGACGGAGCCATGGCAGAAACTTTCAACAGGCGAAAGAGAAAGGCACCCGAGGAAGATGTCGGCTCCCCGGTTCGGGACTCGGGCTTATCTTCGCATCCGGCCGAGCGCGCAAAAGCTCAGCTGGTGCAGCAACAGCAAGCGCCCGCATACGCAATCCAAAACCTTTTTACGGAGAAAGAGCTCAGTGCGCACGCCAACCACGCACATGTGGCTACCGTACACTTTTTTTCAACCTCCAAACGTGCGGATCAGCCCTCGGGTGCCGCCACCAACGGCAACAACACTGACGCGGATGAGGGTTCCGGCGTCGACGGCACAGGCGCGGAAGACAACGGTACGCCGGCCACCGACATGGCTCGGACGGCCAGCCAAAACTTCCACGCCACGCGCTCGACCCGGGGACACGGCAACCACGCGCTGAACGCCCTGGCTGAGCTCTCTGATAAGCCCGCTGTGCGGCCCAATCTCCCCTACAACATTTTGGCCAATTACCACGCGCGTCCTAGTAACAACGGCGCTCCCCCGTTACCGCCACTCATGAATGAGGAAGTTGACGATGACTGGGCTCGCATGGACCGGCTGCATAATAAGCCGGTCGGCTTCGTCGACAGAGGCCTGGCGCAACTCCTTGTCGAGTCTAGTCCTGCTGAGGTGAACGGCGTCCCTCAAAACCCCAACCGGTTCAACATGTTGCATCCGGACTTCCCGACGGATATGGGAATGCATCTGTACCCTCTCTCAAAGGACACGGGAGATGGAGTCTATAGTAATGAACGGGCCAGGAAGGGTAGAACTTAGCCCCTCTTTTGGTGTCTCATTTTGGACTCGATTATCCAACCCCCACAAACCAAACCGCACATATGTCCCCCTCCGAACTATACCTCTTGGCCGGTCAACATCAATTGAATCAACATATGCATTGTTACCACCGCATTGCACGAGTACCAAAGACTACTTGGGAATCACGACTTTTACCATTACTTGCTACACCGGATCCGTTGGCTTACTTTACACCTACTACTTCTGACACCTACCACTTACACGCACTAAATACAACTAGCGGGAGTGAACACGATTGCTTTCTGCCCATCTTACTTTTTTTCTTACCCATTCTTCGTTTGAAGGCGTTTGGAACGGCGAGAGGAGACCTTGGATTCTTTTTCCCCCTTTCTTTTTTGTTTCTTTTTCCCCATCAAAACGCCTTGCTTTTCTTGGCTCTTGTCTGTCATACTTGAGCTAGTTTAATTCCACCCCCATACCCTAGCTAGAGAGAAGAAAGAGTGAGAAGACAGAAAAGAAGCACTCAATGATATGTCATGACTTAATATAACCTGACCTTTTCGTCTGCTTTGGATTTGATTCAGTCGGAGGGTAGGGCACAAGGAATATATATCTAGTAACGCATTGTTCTTGTTCTTGTTCTTGATCTTCTCATGCCATTGGTGTTGTTTGTGTATATCGAACCACTTTCCGCGCCTTGCACGTATCCTCTACTATAAGTACTATCTGTGAGTAGGTACAATTACTACTAGTACAGTACTATGTAGGCTGTAGTACATTTCATGCATACTGCCCGAATCTCTAAAAGCGGCGGGCGATCCGTCCGTGTCTCCGCCCCACTTGGGTATTCGTCTGCAGGAATTAAGTGGCGGAGATAAGGAAGTGCCAGCCGGAGTTAGTTATAGATAGATCGATTCAACTCCGTGGGTAAAATTACAGGGATTTGCTCTTGGAAAAAAGCAATTTCCAGTCTTTGTGTCTTTGCGTAGGTGACTAGCAGGCGCCAGCATCCTTGATAGTCATCAATAGTTTCTTTTCTTTTTCTCTCGAGCCACGCACCTCCCTCTGTCCCTTGAACCTTGTCTTGGTCCTTATAAAGTTTGCCTCCCCCCCTCCCCCACACCAAGAACCAGAAGTTGGATATGCGTGCCTTCTGGAGAAATTGGCATCCTCTCCATCGTCACAGTGTATCGGTCTCACTTGGGTTATCTTTCGAAAGACGCAATATGAGTACCCCCGCATCAGGGATCCTGTATTCGGCAGCTGTTCTGCTCGCGCCGGGCTCCCCGGGCCCGAGTGATGTCAAGGATAAGGCTCATCATCGTACCAATGGCTTCAAGAACCCATGGAAGTAAGTCAACAAGCTGAGCATGACACCAAATCCCGCTGAGCTGGATGTTAACTTTGTCCTCAATTATCAGCTCCTGGAAAGATATCACAATCAGTGATGCTGTACGGTTTTGGGGGTAAGTGCTCAGGCCGCAGAGAGCGACAACCATATATGCAGGTTTGGCAATGCATCGATGAGCTGACTCGTGCATGCTTCTTGCGGCTGTTGCTTGAAGGCAGATGATCACGGGCAAGATCAAATTCCCGAGCACCGCACCTCCCACCGTTCCTGTGCAGAAAGCAGAGTTTCTGGCCAGTCGCACCGCTTCCAGCCTGCGCGCAACCTGGCTGGGCCATGCCTGTTACTATGTCGAGTTTCCTAGCGGCCTGCGAGTCCTCTTCGACCCCGTTCTCGAGGACCGTTGCTCTCCGCTGTCTTGGATGGGTCCCAAGCGCTTCACCGACACTCCCTGCCAAGTTCAAGATATCCCTATCATCGACGCGGTCGTGATCTCTCACAACCACTATGACCATCTCTCTCATCCTACCATCAAGGAGATCTTTAGAAAACACCCGAATTGCCACTTCTTTGCTCCATTGGGCAACAAGAGCTGGTTTGAGCAGCTCGGAATCAAGAACGTAACAGAGCTAGACTGGTGGGACGAGCGCGATCTCGTCCTGTCGCCCTCCCAGGGGACTCCGGCAAAAGTTGAGGGAGCAGTTGAAGACATCAATTCCTCGTCCGCTGAGATCAAGGCTCGAATTGGCTGCCTCCCATCGCAACACACGAGTAACCGAGGAGTTTTTGATCGGGCCAAGACGCTCTGGGCTTCGTGGTCCATTGAGTCCGGGGGCCAGAAATTATACTTCGCTGGGTAGGTTCATGATCGATGATCCGGAAATAATTACGCGCCTTGTTACTCCTCCTAACCCAGATCTCTTGAACTTTGAACAGGGACACCGGATACGCAGCAGTTCCAGAACTTCCAGCTGGCACCAACGACCATGCCCCAGAGCACAACTTCCCCACCTGCCCTGCCTTCAAACAGATCGGACAATACCGAGGCCCCTTTGACTTAGGGTTGATTCCCATTGGAGCCTATGCGCCCAGATGGTTCATGAGCACCATGCACGCCGACCCTCACGATGCAGTCAAGATCTTCCGAGACACCCAATGCAAGCGAGCTATGGCCATCCACTGGGGCACATGGGTCTTGACCGAAGAAGAGGTGCTTGAACCGCCCAAGAAGCTGAAGGAGGCATTGCGAGAACACAATCTTCCGGAAACGGGGGTTTTCGATGTCTGCGATATCGGCGAAAGTCGCGAGTTCTGAGAGAGAGAGAGAGAGAGAGAGAGAGAACCTTACCTTTGGGGAAGGACTTGAATAGTGTCTGAGCAAATATGTACAAGAAGGTTTTTCCCTTGTGTTAGAGCCTCCCTAGTTCTTAATATGTCTTTTGACTTTTGTGGATTTTTTTTATTGAATCTACTTTTTCTACACTCGCATCTCCTGCACTGGATGCACTGGGCATCCGTTACAACTCATTTTGCTTTTTTCTCACCGTCTTTCTTGCATATGACTTGTCTGAACGAAATTCTCCATCCACTCCATCAAAGAAATCTCATTTAAAATAACAGAGGGGTCACCCTGCAAGGCGAAGGGCAGTGGATGACTTATGACCTGGCCTGTCCCCTTCCTTTCCGATGGCAACGTTGGGGTGTGGGAGCATTAACCACAAACCACCCACAGACGTGCCTCATAAGCCAAATCATCTATGACCTCCAACTTGACCACCGCTGTCTATGTATGCTCTACGGCATGGAGAAAAATGCTTGACAGAAGACACCTATCGCGTTATCTGTATCATCCATACCGTGGAAAACTGGTCAATTGATGTATGCTTCACCGTGTGAAAGGTTAGTCGAAGAAGCTGTTGCGGTTTTCTCTGTTACATTTTACCTGTACTTACAATTGATGTTCTAGCCATCGATGAATGTTCTCATCCAAGTCCGGTGATACGCTGGCCTTCTTGCTTCCTTTCCTTTACCGGGTTCCATCTGGCCTCCAGCTCAGAGACTCTTTTTGGGAAGCACTATATTCGCCCCCCATCAGACTAGCTGTACAAGGGCACACCCCAGCGGCTGGCAGACCATCATGTCCTCATCTAGCATGCTTCCGCCCGTAGGGCCTGTAGGCCATGTCTACCCCCGACGACGACGCCAAAGCAGCAGCAGCAGCAGCAGCAGCAGCAGCAGGCAGTGCTCCTGGACCAGGCCCCGACCGAAGCCCCGGGGAGGCTCCCGCGGATACTCCACCGACGACGAAGACGAGGTCCTCTACGACCTGGACGAAGCCGCCCTGGCGCAGCTGCCCGTGCACCTCCAAGACACCATGCGCGAGCTGCAGCTGGAGCGCGTCCACCGGTTCCAGCAGCAGCAACAGCAGCAGCAGCAGAGCGCCCACAACGAGCTCCAGCTCTGTCGGCCCGTCTACCACAGCGACTATGCCGAGACATGGTTCAAGAACATGATGGCCCGGCTGTCGGCGGACCAGGAGATGAGTGAGGCCCACTACCATCTGCGACAGGCCCAGGGAAACACCTACCAGCAGGATGAAAGTTGGCGCTCGCAACAGCAGCAGTGGTCTGTCAACCGGCAGAATGATATTCAGGCTGCTGCTGCCGCGGCCGCGGCCGTTGCCATGGGGGGAAACAGTACGTGGTTCGGAGATGATGGTGAACCAGGACAGGAAATATCCCCGCTTTATCATGATCATCGTCATCATGATATGGCAGTTTTTGAAAGGGACGTGGATCTCTCACCTGTCAGCTCGAGGCGGTTTTACAGTATGCATTATGGGTATGGACCGCGGCTGGAGGAAAGAGGCCGGCCTTTGTATGAGACAGACACGGGGAGTAGTAGTAGAGAACGGCGGCGCGGGGATGGTAGGGGCGCGGTTCAATCCCACGCCCCACGGAAGAAGAGCCGGTCGGTCATAACTTCTATGCGCTGTAGGGTGAAGAGGAGTATTCGAAGAATGGGGAGACTGTTGAAGAGATAAAACTGGGTTGGGGCTCTGATTGTGCTGGCGTTTTGGCGGTATACCACTTTTTGAGCTTGATGGGTGTTTATTGGATTCTTTTATGGGTTGGATTGGGGTTTCGTTGTTGAGGGATCGACCATTGTAGTTGCTGCGATGTGTGCAGTTCGTTATATAGAGATTATCTTGTGTATAACGTTATAACCAAGTAGAAGATATTGAGGCGGTCGGGAATTCCAGTGGTAGAACTGATAGATCAGGGGAAGGGTGGCACTAAGCCCAATCCAGGCTAGTTGGCGGTGAGCTTCTTGTCCGCCATCCCACTTCGGGGTGCGCTGGAAATTTGATGGTGACGGCGGGCACAACACCTTCAGTTCCCCATCCTACGAACCGGCCTCTTCTTTTGGCTGTTTGCTGCTCAGATTCTGCATCCTTTCGCAGGCATAGTCTAATTCCGTTTATCTAATTCCGTCCTTCCTCACACACGAAAGAACCACCGCCAACATGCAGGCTCCGGTGGTGGTAATGAGTATGTTGCTTTGGAGGGGGGGGGGAGGTTTTGCCTGTGCTTGGGCTCTGAATGCTGACTTGTTTATAGATACCAACGCTGGTGACAGACAGGTTGGTCGTAAAGCCCAGCTGTCCAACATTGCCGCTGCGAAGACGTACGTCAAACCCTTCCCAACCCCCGCCTCCCCCGCTCCGGCCTCTAATACAGGATTGTCAACTGCAGCGTTGCGGATATCATCCGGTCATGTCTCGGACCCAAGGCTATGCTGAAAATGCTGCTGGACCCGATGGGCGGTATCGTCCTGACGAACGACGGACACGCTATCCTGAGAGAGATTGAGGTGTCGCACCCCGCCGCGAAGAGCATGATCGAACTGAGCCGCACTCAGGACGAGGAGGTCGGAGATGGAACGACGACCGTCATCATTCTTGGTATGCATGCATTGCTGCTTCGGGGCTCTCCTGATTGCCGAAGCAGGCCCGCTAACATGTATCAGCCGGTGAAATGCTCGCACAGGCCCTTCCCCAACTCGAACGCAACATCCACCCCGTTGTCATCATCTCCGCCTTCAAGCGTGCTTTGGCTGACGCCCTCGCCATCGTCGAGGAGGTCTCGATACCCGTCGACATCGACGACGACAAGGCCATGTACACTCTCATCCAGTCCTCCATCGGAACCAAGTTCGTCTCTCGGTGGTCGGAGCTTATGTGCAGCCTCGCCCTCAAGGCGGTTCGGACTGTGTCCTTTGACGCTGGCGGTGGCAAGCGTGAGGTTGACATCAAGCGCTACGCTCGTATCGAGAAGATTCCCGGTGGTCAGATTGAGGACAGTGAGGTTATCGACGGTGTCATGGTCAACAAGGATATCACGCACCCGAAGATGCGGAGAAGAATTGAGAACCCTCGCATCATCTTGCTCGACTGCCCGTTGGAGTACAAGAAGGGTGAATCGCAGACGAACATCGAGATCACCAAGGAGGATGACTGGAACCGTATCTTGCAGATCGAGGAGGAGCAGGTTAAGCACATGTGTGATGCCATCTTGGCTCTGAAGCCCGATGTTGTCATCACCGAGAAGGGTGTCTCAGGTAGGAACCAAGCGCTGAGATGTTGGGTTTGCATATATCTAATTCCTGTGTTCAGATCTCGCTCAGCACTTCCTGATGAAGGCCAATGTCACAGCCCTCCGCCGTGTCAGAAAGACGGACAACAACCGTATCGCTAGAGCCACGGGCGCCACCATTGTCAACCGCGTGGACGACCTCCAGGAGTCCGACGTCGGAACCCAGTGTGGTCTGTTCGAGATCGAGAAGATTGGCGACGAGTACTTCACCTTCATGAGAAAGTGCCAGAGCCCCAAGGCCTGCACCATCCTCCTCCGCGGTCCCTCGAAGGATATCCTGAACGAGATCGAGCGTAACCTCCAGGATGCCATGGCCGTGGCCCGGAATGTTATCTTCCACCCCCGCCTCTCCCCCGGCGGTGGTGCCATCGAGATGGCCGTCTCTGTCCGCTTGAGCCAGCTGGCCAAGTCGATCGAGGGCGTCCAGCAGTGGCCCTACAAGGCTGTCGCCGACGCCATGGAGGTCATCCCCCGCACGTTAGCACAGAACGCCGGTGCCAGCCCCATCCGTGTTCTCACTCGTATGAGGGCCAAGCACGTCGAGGGCCACACCACCTGGGGTCTGGACGGCGACTCCGGAGCTTTGGTTGATATGAAGGAGTACGGAGTTTGGGAGCCCGAGGCTGTCAAGCTCCAGAGCATCAAGACTGCTGTTGAGGTGAGTGCCCGCGCTGATAATGTCAGACTGTCCCCCAAGCTAATCAGAGAAACTAGTCCGCATGCCTGCTCCTCCGTGTTGACGACATTTGCAGCGGTAAGTCGGCCCAGCAAGTGGGTGTCGGAGCCGGTGGCGGCGACGAGTAAATTGAGCGAGAGATATCAAAGATAGTAAAAATTGCGTACATAATTCTGCACGATGACTTCTGGTAACGGACATTCTGTGAGAACATCCTAGACTTTCAAACTAATGGGTATCTTCATATCGTACACCTAATCCTACCGCATCTTTTTCCACATGATGTGCAATAGTGGCCATAGCACTTTCTAGCCACTAGCTGCCCCCCAATCTAATCCAATGCAATTCAATCATCATGGATAATAATCCCCTGCACCTCCCCACCAGCCTCGCCATTGCCATTGCCATTGCTATCCCCACCCTCCGCCCCAGCAACGATACCATCCCCAGCCACCGCCGCCGTCTCATCCGCCCGATCAACCACCATCCGATCCCCCGCCCCATCCTTCCCCTCCTCCCCACCGGCCTTATGAGTGGTTTCCTTCCTCGCATTGGCGCGCTTCTTCTTCTCCCTCCGCCGCCGATTCTTCTCCGTCCGCTCCTCATCCCGCCGCTTGGTGTCGGCCTGCTTCCGTGCCCATGCCTCGTCCTCCTGCTCCTGGATCACCTCGTTCTGCATCAGCCGGAGCCGCTCGTACTCGCGCCGCCGGCTGGCCTTGTAGACGTGGAACTCGCCGGACCCGGCCCCCGCCGACGACCCCTGCACGTTGGCGACGATCTCCGGCGGCGGCGGCAGCGACCCCGCCGTGCGGGGGGGTCGTTGGGCGGGCAGATGGATCTCGCGCGTCGGGTCCCGCATCAGCGATTCGATCTGCGAGGCTTGTTCGGATTGTGCATTTTGGGGAGTGTTCAGGGCGCGTCGCTTGAGGGGCCGTTTGCTGCGCGGGTCGGCGCTTGTGGGGATCGATTCGGGGATGGGTTCGGACATTTTGGGGAGGCGTTGAGGTTGGTTTGTGGGGGGGGAGGTTGTTTTTTGGTGGTGGTGTTTGTGGTGGTTGTGGTGATTGTGGTTTTGTCAGGAGGAGGAGGAGTTGAGGTGGATGATGGGGTGGACAGTGTAGGTGTAGGATTGTTGGAGGGTTTGATGATCGGCGGTGCCGGTGGTTGTTCTGGAAGCTTTGGGAAGGGAAGTGGGTGGCTGTGCCAAGACTGCCTTATATGTAGGGAAGTTTATCCGAGGTTGGGCGACTTGAAGTATATACTCTGCTATCGTAGGACAGGCTGACAACTTTATGGTCCACGAGAATTCTTTTCTATAGTTCAGGGCTGAAGGGAAAAAACAGAGCACAATGGCCGATGGGGCCTGTTCTTGCCTAGTTCCTTTGGGGGTGTTGTTCAGAAAAGTGACAAACCCCTCCCTGTTCATTATCTATACTTCCTGTTCCCGGCGGGGCTGGCTTGTCTTTCTGGCATGTAATCACACACGGCTTGTAGAAGGTCGTGAAGCGCGTCGGCCCTCCTTGACTGGTCTCTGGCCCTGAGCTCTTTATTCACTCCCTTAGGTGAAAGGCAGGACCGCCTCAAGGCTCCAAGGAGCTTCTTTCACTTTCCCTCAACCTGACGGGTGATCCCATCCCTCTGACGCTATTTCTCTTCCTCTTCCTCTTCTTCCTCCTCCTCCTCCTCCTCCTCTCGTTAGCAAGCTACTACTCTCGCACCTCACAAAATTTACTCCCTTCTCTTTCCCCCCCCACTATCACTTGGATCTGGTTCTGCCAGATACTTGCTCACTGCAAATCCAAGCGCCTATGCAGATCGTGTGTCCTCGCTCCTGACCATGGCGGCGACTGCTGAGGCACACAGAAATACCAAGGCCCACGTAAGTTCAGTGAGCTGAGGCAGAGATCTTCTACTGCTATTCCTCTACGTAAAAGCTCATGTTCAGCCAGTTCGAACCAGATGACATATGTTGTCTGGTCTCAGATCCGTCTCGCGTGTGCTCTGTTGAGGTATGTTCACCAGGTCTCTTGTGGTAAAGCTTTTCTCAGATACTGATTAGGTGCAGGGTACTCATGATGATGTAGGTTTCTCCTCCCCCTCACCAGAACACAGATCTCTTGTGTGACTGACCTATGCTGCATAAAAGCCCCTAGTTTACCCGCTGGATGAATACCTCATCCTTTCTCATCCATCGACACCCGCAGGAGTTCTGGAGAAATTCCTGCAGACAGAGGACGTAGGTAGCAAAACTCAAGCACTTCTTCTGCGTGTCTACTAAAGTCTCTTTTGCTCCTCAAAAGGCCCCGCAAGGATATATATTTGTCCGGTTCGTGGATAGATCGCAGGGCTACTCGCTGATTCCTGAAAATGAGCTCCAACTTATCGACAGAGAATGCCACATTGGGGATATTGTCAAATGCCAAGCACACGATGCCATGTGTGGCAGAGTACTAAGTTGCCGGACCAAATACACCCTGGAGCCTGTCGCGTCTCTCCCCAGCAACTCACTAACAGAGGAACATGGCCCGCTTAGATTCAAGGATAAGCCGAAGTGTCTCAGCTCTAACATAATGCCACCGATGGACGAACTACAATCTAACTTGCTACATGATGTTGTCGTCTCCGACATTGAGTCTCATGAGCCATTCGCCGTGGGAGACCACATCATATACCAGCAGAAGCTTGGGGTCATCCGGCATGTTGATCGAGATCCTGTGTTTTTGACGAGGCAAAGCGAGGTCGTCACCCTCTACAATCCATTGAACGTCGAATGTCCAACTTGGGTCGACCCTGAAAGGCTGCTGTGGATGCCACGCGGTGGAGAGATCACTAAACAGTCAGAGGTTGCTGGAGCTGAGATAGTATACAAGGACCCTGGTCAAGTCTATCCTGGCCGAGCTGCCTTGGTCGATGCCGCGAACATGTGCGAGGTCTATGGTGCTCGTACCAAGAACCCAATTCGTGGTCGTCAGCATGTCTGCACGTTGGCTACACCAGCTTCACAGTACCATGTCAAGTGGATGATGCCAAATGCGTTCGGGATTGGAATAGACAAAGACACAGTCACTGGGGGGACGGAGATAATCAGAGCATCTTTGTTCAAGAAATATGCAGTCAAGTGTGACTTCGGCCGGGCCCCGACGAACATGTCTAGTGAGGAGGAACTTCAGCTGAGGCCTAGATGTTTGATAAAACTGGGAAGTGTAGTGCGCTTCCGTGACACGGTTGGAGCGGCTGCAAAATACCCGCACTTTCGTCACGTCCCAGTTGAATATTCGTATGGGTATGATCTGAATGTCTTTCGAATTGTCTCATCCAAGACAGACACGACGGTTCAGTGGCAAAACGGGAAGATTACCATAGAGAACGCAATATCTCTGCATACACCAAATCCCTATCCTGCAGAAGAGGTCTTCCCTGGGATTTGACTGTTCTCAAAGACTCGATTCAAGCAATTCCGTCAACCGGAGATGATAATAGATGTTCATCATGCTTGTCGCTTCATTCACACGAAGTGGGCGTGGTTCAAGAGGTGGATAGTCGAGAGCGAGTAGCATATGTTCGATGGTACGACGACGCTACTGTTGAGCTCCCGCTACACGGATACTGTCTAAACCACGAATACACTCGACTGGGAGCCTTGAACACCAAGAGAACTCCAGTATCGCTCTATGAGCTCGCCTCTTTCCCTGCCCTGCGTAGGTCACCAGGGAGACTCGTGCATATCATACCGAGTACTATACACGCATCTGTGTTGCAAGCTCTCCGGGTAAGCCCTGCGGCTGGCAATGGCGCCGATCATTCGAGCCATGCACCTTCCAAGCACTTCGATGCTATACGGAGCTACCTCGAGAAATCAAAGAGAGACGTCGTTCGTACTGCGTGGTTCAAGAGCACAATCGCAGTTGACAACTCTCCGGCACCTACACGCCTCAGTATTCACTACGAAGACTTCTGCGCAAGGTTGCATGCGAACTTCATCGGGATGATCATGAAACCAAACACCGATGGCACCGTCACGGTGCGGTTGACTCACGGAGATTCATGTGTGGATATTGAGATGCCAACGGAGAGAATCTTGTTGTCATATCCTTGTGAGTGTGAAGAAATGCATCCTGATGGGTCGGCTCCGAACGACGAGTCAGAAGATCTCGACACGGATGATACCGATAATGAAGACACTGATGACGATGATGATGATGCCAACTGCCACGGAGTATCCCATGGGAAAGAGGCAGGGCGTACACACACTTCGAAAGATGCACTGGAACACATTGAGGACTTCCCGTATTACCATGTCACAATGGCAGATGCTGAAGGAGACATGGAAATGAGTGGAACAGAACCCTCCGGATCATCGGCTCCTCCAGCGTTCCTCGTACTCGAGGGACCCCCTCCCTCTGATCATCATTTCATCTCGAGTGAGCCCGCGGGGAATTCCAGCTTGAGTATCAAGCGCATACAAAAGGAATGGAGGGTCCTCAATACATCTCTTCCTGCTGGCATCTATGTCCGTTCATGGGAGTCACGCGTGGATCTCATCAGGACTCTGATTGTTGGGCCTGCGGGCACTCCGTACGAGCATGCGCCTTTTGTGATCGACTTCCACCTCACGGATCAATTCCCAAGCAAGCCCCCGGCTGCTTTCTTTCACTACTGGTCCATCACCGAGGCAGAAATCAATCCTAATCTGCACCTCGACGGCCAGGTTTGCCTTAGTCTGTTGGGCACATGGCCTGCACAGAACCCAAATGAGGTTTGGTCTTCTTCCAAGTCTACGCTTCTCCAGATCATGGTTTCAATCATGGGCTTGGTCCTGGTCAAACGTCCGTTTTATAGTAAGGCAGTCCCTTCAGACCTGAAAAAGTCCCGTTGCTAAGCACTAACTCCTGCAGATGAGCCTGGCTTCGAAACCCTTGCTATAGACGAGGAGAAGCGGATCGACTCGATTCAATACACCGAGCGAGCATTCCTTCTGACGCGGAAGTTGATGGTACAAGCTCTGGCAAACGAGGTGTCTGGCTTCGATGATGTTACCTCGTGGCTATATTTCCCCGGGCCCACGACCGCGCTGAACATGAATCGCCCTCATCTGATCCGTCGAGCCATCGATGATGCGCTGGCAATGATTGAGCATCACCACCGCACCTCCGCGGGCCAAGACTCAGCTGTCGGAGAAGCTTCTGCATACATGTCGCGGCTCAGCCTTGGGGCAGTGGTCATGCTTCAGAAGCACATCGCCGATTTGGAGAAACTTCCATACCATATGGCTTGAAGCTCTTCGGGATCATTGTGGACATGAGCCTGAACTATGATCTGTAAGAGCACCTCGTATTTGTGGAGACCCGGCTGGAGTAGGTTCTCAGGTTCTCATGTTCTCAGTGATGTTTGTTGTTGATGAAATCTGATGTATGTACGAGTCAAGCCCGTGCTCATGGTTGATTTTTGAGGCAACAATGGGTGCGATAGGCAGCGATAGGCGACATCTGATTAGCAATGGTATCTAGAAATTGAACTGCTACTTTGGAAGTGCCTATACTAGGTAGATGATGCCTGTAAGATATCTCGACTGTTCTTCAGCCTTCTGCAGCGAGACCGATGATTTCGAAGTATTCTCGAAGAACCGACCGCAGCGACCGCAGGGATAGAAGATGTAGTAGTGATAATAACCACTAACCTCATTATTTCAAGTGGCTCCGTAATAGAAAGAATTGAAGAGCCCGTGTCAGTCTGTCGACTAGAACAAAACAGCATTCCATAATGATCATTACCAGCCATGAGCGTCGTAGCAAAAGGGCGGCGAGGAGCCCTGCGGCATTGGTCTTTGGCGGGTTCCGTTGGGCTGTTGGCTCGCCCGCACTCCCTTTCCCACGCTCGTTTTCCTTCCTCTCTCAGACCACCTCCGATTGTTTCCTCTTCTGTAATAAATCTCGCGGTCTAATTTTTTTTTTTCTTTCTTTTCCATCGCCCACCTACTGTTGGTGTGTCTTCGAATTCTCAACAGTCTTGAGTGTTTGACCTGCTTTCTCAAACCCAGTGAAGTCAGGTGTTTGTGCCAGAACCCAAGAAACTTGCCGCACGTAGCACCGTCGTCATTGCAGTACGGCAAAAATGGGCGCATATCGTTTGGGTAAGTTCCGTTCCATCGATCCTTTTCTGCCTTCGAAGTACAGTGTTGTTTTGTACATTCTATTGTCTCAAGACATAAACTCGTATCGATATGTGAACAATGGGCTGGTGATAGGGATTTGTTGTCTACGAGTCTTCATTATTTGTTCTGCCGTGCTGCTTGCTGCTGTTCTGCCAACTGTCACATTATCCACTTCACCAAATTCCCTTTTTTTTTTTTTTTTTTTTTTTTTTTTTTTTTTGTGGATTCTCCTATACTATTTTACTCTGAGTCCTCTTCTTTGGTTGTTTGCCCTACTAGCATAATCATGCTACTCGACGAACTATGCACCTCTGATTTATTGAGCTTTGAACTAACCTACCCCCCCAGAGGAGGCGAGCACCAGCCGTGCCGGCTGCCAGAACAAGGAATGCAAGGATGCCAAAATCAAGATCGCCAAGGGGGAGCTCCGTCACGGCAGCTGGGTCGAAGCAGGCGATTACCAGAGCTGGAAATGGCGTCACTGGTAAGTTTTTCTCCCTGGTCATCTGCAAGCAGCAAGCATTTGAAAGCCTTTTTTTTTGGGGGTGTCGTGCATCATCTTTAAGTATCTGACGTGCCTACCCCCACAATCAGGGGCTGTGTCACGCCAAATGTCATCCAGAATCTGAAGGATGCTATCAAGGACATAAGTGGTGGGGATGAGACAGATTGCTCGGCTCTCGATGGCTTTGATGAGCTTTCCGAGGAGAATCAAGAAAAGGTTCGTCGGGCGTTGGATCAGGGGCATGTTGATGATGAGGATTGGAAGGGGGTAAGTTTTTCCCTTTCTTTTTCTTGGTGTTGATTTGGGGATTGGTTGGGGTTGGTGCTATTTGCTTGCTCGTGGGTCAGTAAGCAATTCTAACCCCGTCTCGATGATTAGGATGTTGAAGTCAACCGTCCTGGTATGAATGGCTTCCGTTCAAAGGCCACCAAAAAGGAGGCTGCGGCTAAGGTAAGGTTCTCGGACTAAATACCTGGCTTTCCTTCGGACTAGAAACTGACGTAAATGGACAGAAGAAGGCTCAGGCCAAAGCTGACGAGGAGGATGAGGCGGAGCCTACTCCCAAGAGCAAGAAGCGCAGTCGTGCCCAGCCCAAGAAAGACCCTAAGGTCGAGGCTGAGGCCAACGGTGAGCAGCAGGAGCCGGAAGAAGAAGCACCTAAGCCTAAGCGATCCAAGAAGAGTGCTCAACCTAAGCCCGTATCTGATGAAGACGAGGAGGAGGAGGAGGAGGTCAAGCCGAAGACTTCCAAGCCCGGTCGTCCAGCGAAGTCTAAGGCCGCTGTCGAGGAAGCCGACGAGGAGCCTGCTGCCGCTAAGAAGAAGGTCGCGAAGAAGCCGACTAAGGCCGCTGTTACCACTGCTGACGATGAGGAGAAGCCTAAGCGGGGCCGGAAGAAGAAGACTGCCTGATCCTGATGCTCTTGTACTCACTAGGGCGTTGCTGTTTTCTTTGGAGCATCTTCCTACCTCGGGTACATTCTCTTCTTGTCTATGATCTGCTAATAGTGTTGTTACTTCTGTCTGTCATGGCATGTCCGGTAGCGATCAACCTGTTTCGTGTCGTTCATATGGGGTCTATTTTATCTGCATGCCTGCATTTCTTTTGCTATCTTACGGCGTGGAGCGATATGCTCAGAGGGCGTGCTTCTTTGTTGTGTGGCAAGAAGCTGCTCATGATTGTTGTTCATGATCATCAGTCTATATCTTAGGTTGTACGTATACTGTCATGGGGGCTTTTTATTCCTGCCTGGGCTACCGAGCCTGGTTGTAGCCTGGAAGTACTACGACGATAAATACAGTAGCCGAAAACCAAGCACGAATGATTGATCGATCAGCCGCTCACCATCACATGATCCCCACCACCACCACCACCATCACACTTTCGTCTCTGAAATCCTGTTTCTCTCCTCTGTTCTTCTCCCTCTTTCTTCTTCACGCTTCCAAGAGTCGGCCGTCCCGCTATCGTGTCTCTACTTTACCGTAGATGACCGCAAGCGCAAGCTAGATACCGTAAGATCGCAAGTTCCTTTGCAAGCCTCCCGCCGGGTCTCCGTCTGATGAAGCCCGGTGTCTGCGAAAAGGGAACCTGTAGTCTTGCATGATCAGCTTCCGAGACTCCTCCCCCCGTTCATGTGACCCTGTGCATGACCCAACGGCGGCAGCGTCATTCCTGTCCTTTCCTGCATTTTGGTACACAGTCATTCGCTTTCTGCTTCTTCTTCTTCCGGTCTCTTCCTTTTCTTCCTTTCTCTCTTCTCTCTTCATCCCACACCTGAATGTCTATCGTCTCGTTCCTGGTCCAGTGGATGGATCCGGGCGGCAGAAGCACGATGGCCGGTAGGGCTGGTAGAAAACGCTCCTCGTCTTTGCTGGCTCAGAACCGCCGGGTCAAGAAGCCTGTCCGATCACCTATGACCAAGAAGGTAGGTGTTAAGGCGAAGTCAATAAAGGGTGGGAAGGGGAAGTATGAAGAGAAAAGGGAAGAGGAGTCGACACTGAAGGAGCCGCCTCTTACAAGGTAGGTGTATATCTGCATTTATCTGGTCATTCCTGCGGGCTGTCTTTGTCTTCTATTCTTGCCTTGCTTGAGCTTTGTGCGTATGCTTTCGCATGCCAATGCCTCCTTGCTTGTCCGGGCCGGGAAAGCTAATGTATTCTGCGACCCTCCAGCCCCCTCGTGAGCCCCGTAGTTAGCTTGATCGTGGGCCCGGATCATCGCCTCTTCGTCGCGCATGAGGATGTACTCTCCCGGGGTACTTTCTTCGATGCTATGCTTCGAGATCAGTTCATTGAGAGCAACTTGAATAAAGTGGTGGCTCTGCCAGATGAGCAAGTATCACCTTTTTGCACCACTCAGGGGTGTTGCCTCCAATATGTCCGAGAGGCTGACTAGAAGAAACAGGGATCCAGAAATCCTTTCCTGCATTCTCGAATTTCTCTACAAAGGCGACTACTCCCCGCGTCTTCTACGTGGGGATGGTCTCGAAGAACCTGCCTGGCGCCTCGAGGAAGAAGCTGACAAGGAGAATGAGAGGCAGCAGAACGCCGAGGAGGTCCTAGCAACCAAGCAAGTTCACACTCATCCCAGCAAGGACGGTGGTCCCGCCGGCCTTAACACCTCCCCCACTGCCACCTTCCATCATCACCGGGCAGGCCTCATCCTCCGGGATACGGCCATCTACTGCGCCGCCGAGCACTACGGCCTCCCCGAGACCCTCAAGCGCCTCGCCCTGCGCAAACAGGGTCTCCGAACCGGGATCGCGGTGGACGTGATCCTGCGGTCCGCGCGGTTCGCGTACGAGCATACGCCCGAGTCGGAGGATCGGCTGCGTGCGCGGTACCTGGCGATGATCATCCGGTCACGGGCAGTCTTTAAGACCAGCGGCACGATGCAGTTGGAGATGGAGAGGGGCCATCCCTTCTTTTTCGATTTGTTTGTCGCGCTGTGTAATCATGTGGATGATCTGGAGGGGAGGGTTGCGGGGGCTGAGGTAAGCTTTGCTTGATTTGTCGATGGGAACTGAGGAGTGTCGTCTCTGCTAATAAGCTTGATGTTGTTGCTGCAGTAATGCCCGGCATACCTGTGGCGTCATGGGTTTGTGTTGATGGCTTTACTGGCTGTGCCCTGATCTCGAATTTCGTTTACTGGGTTGCGCGCGGCGAACTTGGCGGAGAAGAAGCGCTCACACATATCGGCACAAAGAAAATCTATAAAAAAAAAGGTTGAAAAGAAAAACAAGCCACTTACTCGTGAAGAATTTGCAGTACGATCTGATACAGGGAAGGGATTGGCCTCTGGAGCGTGCTCTGAATTATCTGTTATATCTTGATTCTCTGCTTGACTCTGATCTGCTTTGTTCTGCTTTGCTTGGCGGTTTCATATGATCTATGTATAATGAGGTTGATCAGACTGCTCAGGATGTGAGTTTGCAAAGGAAGATATGGATGCCTTATGTGTGTGTGCCCCGATCTTTCAACAGTCTGTTTGAATAGTTGAGCTGTGCCCGTGTTCTTATTTTGCGTGCTGGGCTGTTCTTTGATCGATTCTGCTTGGGAGAGATTGTATGTTGACTGGACTGAAGCTGAGCATAATGTTGTGAGCCTTCTTGTGGTCGTGGATTTCTCGATGAGGTATTTGACTTGTGAAATCTATCAAAAATAATGGAGAATGGCTGTTAATGGCCACCTCGCCAAGTCATAGACTGCTTTTCTAGTGTCAATGTACAGTACGGCAAAGCGATGAGGTCTACCCCAGATCGACCCAACGATGGCAGGTCCAAGCGAAGCTTGTTGCAAGAGTGGAGCAAGCTTGCCTTATCATTGCCTAGTCTAGTGCCACTACAGGGGGGCTCGAAATTGGATCCAATTATGATGTGATTGGGTCCCTTATCGCAGCCACCCCCAACGGCTGTCCGTCCTCGGAGGCCCGGCGGTTCATGTATCAACTACAACAAAGCTATAAGAATTGAATATAAGGTCCTTGACAGGCCATATCGAGTTCTAGATTGGGTTCATGAAATAGTTAGTGGCTGCAAGGGTCCAGGGAAATGCGTGCTCCACACATTATCCACGAGACAACAGGCCCATCTGTGTCTGTTCATATTGACATCGATCCCTTACCTGCGATGGACCACAACAATAAGAGCTACAACAGCGGCGATAACAGTATGCATGACTCGCATATTCTGATAGTCGGGGCCGGAACGTGGGGTGCTTCGACTGCACTGCACTTGGCGCGTCGAGGTTATACCAATGTCACGGTTCTGGACGCGTATCCCCAGCCATCTGCTATCTCGGCGGGGAACGATGTGAACAAGATTGTCTCATTCAGTATGTTTCGTTACTCTAAGAGTGTCTGCTTGATCCCTAATCTAACGAGGTCCTATCCAGTGAAACCTCCAGCCGACGACGATCCGGACTACGCTAATCGGACCTTCTTCGCCGCGCTGAGCCACGGCTTCCAGCACGACCCGATCTTCCAACCACACTTCCACGAGACCGGATCCATCACCTCCGCCTTCTCCCCGGATGGCCTCAAGCATATCCACCGCCGTGACCGCCTAGGAGATGAGGTAGTCGAACTGAACACGCCCGACGACTTCCGGCAAGCATTCCCCACAGGAATCCTCACCGGCCCTCTCCCAGGGTGGAGGGGGTACTGGAAGAAGAAAGGCGCGGGCTGGGTGCACGCGCGCAACGCCCTAGTCGCGGCCATCACCGAGGCCCAGCGCCTAGGCGTGCGATTCATCGGCGGCGACCCGCAAGGAAAAGTCGTGCGGCTACTCTTTTCCTCTGCATCCGACTACTCCCACAGTGCAGGAGACGTCATCGGCGTCGAAACCGCCGACGGCACTTCCCACCACGCGGCCAAAGTGATCCTCGCCGCCGGCGCCAACGCGGACCAACTTCTCGACTTCAAGAAACAGCTCCGCCCGACAGCGTGGACGCTCGCGCACATCCGCCTGTCCCCCACCGAGGCCGCCGCCTACCGCAACCTCCCGGTCCTCTTCAACGCAGACCAGGGCTTCTTCATGGAGCCCGACGCCGAGCACCACGACCTCAAGATCTGCGACGAGCATCCCGGCTACTGCAACTGGGTTTACGACAACCCGGACGACAAGCCCCACAGCGAGAGGCGAAGCGTCCCCTTCGCCCGCCACCAGATCCCACTCGAGTCCGAGGCGCGCATCCGCGCCCTGCTGCGCGCGACGCTGCCCCAGCTGGCGGACCGCCCGCTCGCGTTCGCCCGCATCTGCTGGTGCGCTGATACCGTCGACCGCAATTTTTTGATCGATTATCACCCGGACTATCCGTCTTTGCTGTGTGCGGTGGGCGCGTCCGGGCGAGGGTTCGCGCATATTCCGTCCATTGGCGGGTTCATTGTGGATCAGTTGGAGGGACGGTTGGAGGAGAGGTTGGCGCGGACGGTGAGGTGGAGGCCCGAGTTGGCGGTGGATCGCGAATGGGACGATACCCTCAATCGGTTTGGGGGCGAGTATCGGGTTATGGATTTGGGGGAGGTTAGGGGGTGGACGGAGATTGAGGAGGGGGAGTGATTTGGTTATATACATGGTGACACTGTCCTGGCTGATTGTGATAGGATCTGGGATTCTATGGAAGCTAATGAACGGCTGGATTGATGTTATTGACTTCTCTTGTAGTCGAGTGGGGCAATGCTCTGGTTAGGTTCATTGAGTTATGAACGGAGAGAGGTTCTCTTTTTGGAACTGTTGTAGCAGGTGGTCGGGGTGAGTTTATAGATTGGTGGGTATGGGTAAATCGACAAGCTGGGAAGAGGCTGGCTGGTAACTAGTGTCAGGTGACAGGCAGGAGAAGGGCGTGGATGTAGACGAGATTTACAACTTCTTCATCTTACTACGGTGATTGCCTTTATCTAACTTATGGATTGTATGCCTAATATATAGGTACTGCGTATTTCTCTATAGTTTCTCCTCCCGCCTGACTGCTTCCCATCCTCCTTCCTCACCTCCTTCTTTTCCTATCCTACCCTTCTCCTCTACCCGCCGATTCTTCATCATAACCTGCTCAGCCACGATCCAGACGTGCTTGAATCCGATTCAATATATCCTCAAGGCCCGCTGCATCCACGTTTCTAGACTTATCCTCGATGAGTGTCCTCCTCTCTTCGTCACGAGGGATGAAGCTTGCTGGAAATGGAGGCGGTCGAAGGAGTCCGCCAATTTCTAGGAGATCCCAAGAATCCAATTTCAGCTTCATTCCATCTGACGAGCCGACCTCAATATCGAAAGCCCATAGTATACTAGGGATCAAAACCTCAAGCTCCTTCTGAGCCAGATACTGCCCCGAACAGGCTCGTCGGCCGCAGCCGAATGCAAGCAGCGGCAGATTGGGGTCTTCAATCCATCGCTCTGGGCGAAAGGAGGCGGCATCTGGTCCGTAGGTATCGGTGTTTAACACGGCCGACCAATGATTGAGTATCACCACCGACCCTTTCGGTATATCATAACCCATGAACGTGTCGTGCTCGGAGCTGCAGTGCGCTAACGATCCGACCGTGATAGGCCGCCAGCGGAGAACCTCGTTGATGAAAGCTTTTGTATATGGCAGCTCGGCTATATCATCCAGACTAGGAAGACGAGTTTTTCCAACCACGGCATCTAGCTCCTGCTGAGCTTTTATCACTTTGTCACGGTGCAGGATGCATGCCAGGATGCAATATCGGAAGGCTGTGGAGGTGGAGTCGATGCCGGCTTGGAAAAGCACGCCAACTACATAAAGTAACTCCTCATCGCTGAAATTTCCGGTTCGTTCCTTCGTCTGGACATGCTTTGTGAAGTTCCATCCTGGTGCCTTTATAGCGTGTCTGCTGCTTTCTGCAAATATCCGCATCGCCTGCTGATGGAAGCGATTCCCGAATCTCCTCCATGGGTTGATCAGGCTGGGCAGTTTATTGATGAAGGGCAGGATATCTACCAGCCAGAACCCAGAGATCGCACGCATCGTCTCCTCGACAAAGTCAGACATCTCCCGGATCACCGGCTCATCTCCTTGGAGGCGTTGACCATACGCAAGGCTGTACACCACGCTAGATGTAAAGCGGACAATGCTCTGGTCCCAGTCTTTTGAATGCAGCAGGTCGCGGAGAGTCAGCTTAGTTTCTGCCTCAAGGAGCTCGTGGAAATGCAAGGCCTTGCTCGGTGCGAGAATAGTCTTATGGATGCGGTTGTGCGCCCTCCACTGCGGCCCATACGGTAGGAAAACCGTGTGCATCCCGTGGGACAAGTTCTCTAACGCCATCACCATTCGAGGCGAGAGCTATAGATGCGGCCTCTCTTCGCAAATAGTTCATTGGCAATCGAAGCGCTGCCTATGATAATGACGGGTCTCTGCCCCAAAGAGAGGCCCACGACTGGTCCATACTGCTTGTGCCATTCATCGAAAGTAGACCTGACCAAGCTGGAAGGAAACTGATGAAGATTCCCTATCAATGGAAGACCCCGCGGGCCCGGGGGAAGTCTATGGCTTGACCATCTTTTAGTATGCCTGAGCCAGATGAAGACACACATAGCAGCTATGAAAGCTATCGTCTTCCAATGTTGTGACACCATAGTCTATGTTGTGATGAAGCCAATCTCCATCTCACGGTTCCTGATGTGTGGTTTGAAGCTACAGCAGGTTGTCTTCCATTATATGTGAACTAGGTTGAGCAACTCATGATGATCTCGTGGTTGGTCTACATACTACAGCCTCTCGATGTTGGCTTGCCGTCTACTAAAAGTTCACGAGTCCGTTTCTTGTACGTGCTCATATCCGGATTGATGCAAATGCATGACGCATTCTGCACTGTGATTGTCGACATAGCAAATCCCAGCTCAGACTGGATAGGTCTTCTTCTTCATGCCCTAGGAATATTCGCCGGGTCAATTCACCGGGCGTACATGGTACGAAGATTCAAGATCATTTTCCAAGTGTTACCTGCAGTGGCATTCCAACTGACAAGAAAAGGTGTCATAATTCCTGCACGGCCAGGAGTCAAAGACTTAAGCCAGATTCTGACGTGGGCTAAAAAGGCAACCGGCTTAGTCCGAATGCAACAGATGGAGACTGAGGTCTGCTGACATTGATTATTCGTGTATCGCACATACCTACTTCGGATTGGTTGCCACACAGATCCGGGTGCAAGGGAAGACCTGCCGGATATCTTGTTGCCCGTTGTTTCTACTTGAACAAGACTAAAAGACCTCGCGACAGGTCTAGCTACCCACTTGATGCGTGTATACACCTGTTTGTCTGGTCTAGTACTTGGACGCAGGGAGTGCGAGCAAAACATCGATTCGGCCGAGCAAACCTGTAGTGCTTTTCCTAGAGTCTCGGTTTCCCGATTCCCTGTTTTCCCGTTATCTGGCTCCTCCTCAGACCTAACTTTCAGCAATGCTTTAAGGTTGTTTGCCGGACCAGTCCACGTTTCCTTCTCCTTAGATATTTCCCTGTCTGGGCTTCACGTCATGAATAAGGTTAAAAATGACGTCGCGAATGGCTCGACGCATGCTGTGCTACGAATGCTTCCCTGGCCTAAGCACCCTGTCTTGCATGCTATGTTACACACGTTTCCCTGCCACGGATGGTTGTGGGAATGGTTCATGCAAGGGGCATCCGGTCTTCACGGAAAGCTCAGGTGTCAGTCGGCCCTTCCGCTCAGGCGAGACCTCACTTCATTATTGATACTCAGAGTTCCATTCACGAGGTCCTTACTAAGACGGCTGCGAAGTGTCATCGTTCTACAATTTCACACTGCAAGGAGGGTTTGCAGTATTGAGGCCCGCTGTGATAAGCATGCAAAAGTTTACCGAGGACAATTTGGTAGGTGAGACCGGTATACAAACATTCAATTCTATAGACTGGAACTGAAGTACAAATTTAAAATATATCATGATTATGGCAGCATACATGAAACTCTGAAAGAAGAAGCAAGGTATGTTGCAGATGCCGCTATGAAGACAAAAGATAGAATCCTGAAATTCGTCAGTAGCTGCACACCATCCACCTTGAAAGTTTACCTTTGGGCTCAGCTTACCATACTCCTGTTTTGCGTCTCTCCATACCTGCGAAAGTTGGAACCCGCCCTGCTGTGCAATACTGCTCATTTGCTCTTCATTCCATTTGCCACTACGGAAGAAGAAAATCTTCTCCCCGTGATGTACCGTCACTGACGTGGCGCCGCTCGTCAAGGTGACATCGCTTTCGGGGGAATAGAAAGTCAGGATCTCATTCTCCTCCCGATCGTACTCGAGGAGGCAGTTCCAAACCACGTCGTTGAACAGATCCGCCCGGAGCAGCTTGTTAACGTGAAGTAGGCCATAGCGGAGGAAGAGGGACGACAACCCCCCTTCGGGATTGTAGGCTTTGAGTAGCTTGCTCTCGTCGGCACAAGCGTCCGCAGAAACCAAGAATTGGCAGCGCATTCCTGCAACGGCGCAGGCTTGGCGGAAGTGGCCCATAAGGTCGCCTGCTTCGGTCTTGGAGAGATTTGCCACACTATTGCCGACCCAGAGAAAGGTGACTGAGCGTGTGTGGAGACTGGCGGTGTTGTTGGCGATCCAGTCTACGCAGTCGCCATATGTGCCGAGCAGACCGGAGATGCTGATGTGCGGGCAGTGCTTGAACTCTGCTTGCAGAGCCTGCAGGCTGGTGCGCAACGCTGATTCTGAGACGTCCAGGGCATAGTATTGGACCTCCTTGCCTTGTCCAGCAAGGGCGGAGAGTATGATTGCGGTCTTGTGAACGTTTCTAGGATGGGGTCAGGCAATGAGTATAATTCATGGAAAATGAGATCTTGAGACCGGGCGAACGCACCCACACCCTAGCTCGACCAACGCAGACCGATCAGGGAGAGCGCCCGCCATCCTGTCTTTGTGCGTCTCGAGGATCTCCAACTCCTTTGACTTGGGATAGTAGTGAGGACAATTGGTCCATTCATTGAAGTTTTTGAGCCCCTGCTCGTCCCAGAGAAGAAGTGACGGAATCGCCTTGCGCGGCTGCGACAGACCAGATATAACGCATGACTTCAGGTCGAGAAGCTCCAAGGACTTTCGAATGTCGCGAAGAACGGGTTCCTTGGGAGCCCGCGTATCGAGCGATAGTGCCGAGGATGGCCCAGTAACTTCGCAGACGGTGGTCATAGACATTTCCACGGCTTGATCTAATGACCTTCAGAATATATAGAGATTGAGTCGGATTGCTTCGGCTGAGATGTCTAGCTTACCGTTTTTAAAGTCAAGACTGGCGGCGTGTTTCGTCAAATTTAACATGATGACAGCGTAGTCCTGTATAATTACAGCATATGATGAGCTGTGCCTGTGCCTGCCACACGCTCATTCCCAAGAGTGGTCATCTGTTATGCCAGGTTTGACACAAATGTCCCTGCTGATGGCATATAACTCTCGAAGATTGACGTACTGTCCATTCATGCCGGCTGCGGAGATCCCTTGATAGGTTGTTTAGGCTTGACGGTCTTAAAACTAGGTTATCGACTCGGGCAAATCCCTAGAAATGTAAGATAGGCACCACAATACGTCATGACTCAAGTCACGTCAGGTAGAGGCCTGCACAGAGCATTGCTGACGTACCCGAGTAAGAGCAGTTGTGGGCTGGGGTCCGGGATAGACATGATGGTCTCCTGCGTGTGAGGAATGAACCCTCCATTTGTGAGCAGCTGTGTGGTATAATAATACCCCATAGGGTGCCTTGCAGCTGTCAATTCGTTGAGTCACGGATCTTGTTGTTGCTGCATGTCTGAAGAGGATTGTCTTCTTTGAAGGCATTGCACACATTTACCCTGTTCAGACAGGTTCCGCATATTTCAATAAAATCGTCGAAGATTCCTCGGATTGGCGGGATATGGCTTGATTTGAATCAGACCAATCAGCTCATGGAAGAATCAAGGTAGTCTGCTGGCGTGAAGTTCGGCATGTGGTGTGTGGGAGTGGTTGAATACAAGAGGACTCGGGAGAAACAAGGCAGCTGCTGATCGCCACGCAAGACCCTCCCATATTCCTTTTTCAACTTCTCCAACTCCAAGGGACCTTACTCCTTCTCGATATCAGTATGAGGAAAAAACTTGAATTTTCGAGATGAGACACACATTTCGTTCATATTTATATTCAGCAGCTAGTCGTTCCAACGGAAGTGAATCCTCTTAAGACATTCTTGCCTTCATCACCTGCGCCATACTCTTCATACACACCTAACAGCTGCTTCTCTTAACCTACAATAAACCACCAAGAAAGAGAATCATGACAAAAGTCGACAATTCCGAAGATGCCGCCCCTCAAGGGTTCAACCAACCCACGAAGATAATCAACACTAACCGAGAATCGCTAGAATTAGTGGGTGACACCGAGCGCGACCAGAAGCAGCTGCAGCAATTGAACTCCTTCAACCCCCCAAAACACCAGCCCGCCAATGTCTGCATACATGAAATGTTTCACAAACAGGCAGTTGCACATCCTGAACGCGAGGCCGTATCCGCTTGGAATGGACAGTTTACTTTCGCCACTCTCGATCGCCTGTCGTCCTGCCTCGCGTCACACCTACTGAATCGAGGAGTCGCAATCGAGGAGTTCGTCCCGGTGTGCTCCGAGAAGTCACACTGGTATCCCGTGGCACTGCTGGGGGTCTTGAAAGCCGGGGCTGCCTTTGTGCCGTTGGATCCATCCCATCCTACCCAGCGCTTAGAGGAGACCTACCGCGCCGTCGCAGCGAAGGTGATCATCGCCACCAAAGCCACGGCCGAGACGGTCAAGTTTGCCGACAGGATTGTCGTGATTGATGAAGATGAGGATGGTGATGTCACCGCTCTTGGGAGAGGGGCAACCACGCTGCACCCAGAGCCAGAGGTTCCCTGCACCAGTACTGCCTACGCAGTCTTCACGTCCGGGACTTCCGGAAAACCGAAGGGGGTGGTTATAGAGCATCGGTCTCTATCGACTAGTGTGTTGGCTAACAGTGTCGCGCTAAACATCCATGAGAAGACCCGTGTCTTCCAGTTTGCGTCCCATGCGTTCGACGCCTCCCTGTTGGACATCTTCGCGCCATTGGTCACGGGCGGTTGTGTGTGCATACCCTCGGAGGCTGAGCGGAAGAACAATCTGGCAGAGGCATGTCGTCGGCTGAACTGTACTTGGTCCTTCTTGACTCCCTCACTGACAAGGGTGTTGGCGCCGGAGGATTTATGTACCCTGCAAACACTGGTGATTGGAGGCGAGGCTCTGCGAGAAGGGGACATTGAGAACTGGTTGCCTCGTATGCAGTGCATCAGCGGTTACGGTCCCACCGAATGCACGATCGGCTGCATGGCTACGACGCTACAACCAGGCATTCGGCCTGACCCGTCTGATCTGGGGCGAGGGGTTGGAGTCAATTGCTGGGTCGTTGACCCCGACAATCATGACAGATTGAGCCCACCGGGGGAGGTTGGAGAACTGCTGCTAGAGGGACCCATGGTCGCCCGCGGCTACTTCAAGGATCCTGCACGAACAGCCGAAGTGTTCATCAGTCCCCCGGCGTGGCACAAAATGTTGAGACCCCGAGGTGATCGGATGTACAAGACAGGGGACCTGGTGGTTTTCGACGCCGCGAAAAGCGCGATCCGTTACGTTGCCAGAAAGGATACGCAGATCAAGCTCCACGGCCAGCGTCTGGACACTGGAGAGGTTGAGCATCATATTCGGTCAATGCTCCCAAGAGCCGTGGATGCTGTGGTAGATATGATTCATCTTGCTGATGAGACTTCAGCCTCAATCCTCGTTGCATTTCTTGTTCTAAAATCAAATAGTACAACAGCGCACGTCACCAAAGTAGGATGGCTTGAGGAACCGACGGATGACCTGAGCACCAACGTGGAGATGCTTAAAGCAAAATTGTCCGACCTTGTTCCTGAGTACATGATTCCTAGTACATTTTTACCTTTGGTGTCAATGCCTCTCACGAACAACGGAAAGAGTGACCGGAAAATGCTTCGCAATCTGGCGGCGACTTTGACCCGACATGATCTCCGCAGGTATAACGGGAACTATGCCGTCGAGAGCAGCAGGCCTTCTAGACCAGTTGAGCGCAAGCTTCAGATGCTGTGGTCGAAAGTACTCGAGATTCCAGTGGACGAGATTGGTCTACAAGATGGCTTCTTTGCTCTTGGTGGCACTTCTGTCGCGGCCATGAAGCTGGCCGGTCTAGCGAGGAAAGAAGGCCTCGAATTAGACATAGCCGACTTATATGGTCACCCTGCCCTCGAAGACATGGTGACCCGAGTCCGCACTGTCTCGAGAGGTAGCGCAATCCGGCCGTTCTCTCTGGTTTCTGCCAGTGAAGACTGCAAGCAGATCGTTACAGAGACCATGAAGCAGTGCGGGCTCAGCCACGAAACAGAAATTGAGGACGTGTATCCTTGTACACCGTTGCAGGAAGGACTTATATCTCTCGCCGCTAAAAGACCGGGCTCCTATATTGGCGTGTTTCGGTATGAAATGCCTGCGAAGGTGAATACTCACCGGTTCCAGTCTGCATGGGATGCGTTGGTCGACGCTCACCCGATCTTGAGGACCCGATTTATCCAAACCAGCAGTGGCAAGATCTACCAGGCAGTAATTCGGAGGTCAGTCGCGTTAGATGTGAGCTCGCTGAACGGAGAGGGATTCAGGGCAGCAAAAAGTTCGCTTTCCTGCGAGCTCGGACAGTCCTGGATTCGTGCACATCTTCACAATACAGCATCTACTTTACAGCTGCCGGCCTTCACACTGACTGTGCATCACGCTTTGTCCGATGGCTGGGGCCTTCCCGTACTCCTTCGGGACCTCGAAGCCGCCTACAACGGACAGACACTGGAAGAGAGGCCATTCAGTCCTTTGATCGAGTACATCGGGCGCACGACTACCGAGCGAGAGGCGTATTGGCAAGGCCGCTTCACTGATGTGCAGAGTGCCAGCTTCCCTTCGCTACCCTCCCCAGCGTATATCCCAAAGGCTACGGAAATGCATCCAATCTGTATTCCCGTGAACCATCGGGTTGCAAGTGAGTACACACTTGCTGACAAACTCAAGCTAGCATGGGGAATCATCCTTTCCCTTTATACGGAGACCGCCGATGTCGTCTTCGGCCTCACTGTTAGCGGACGTGGCGCTCCTGTGCTGGGCGTCGAGGATATGACTGGCCCGGCAATCGCGACCATCCCCTTGAGACTGAATCTCGATCCAGAGATGACCGTGAAAAACAGACTTCAGCGGCTGCGGGAGTTCTGTGTTGCCGCGATGCCATTCGAACACATAGGGCTTCAAAACCTTCGCCGCCTTGGTCAGGGATCTAGCAAAGCTTGTGATTTCCAGAGCCATGTTGTCATCCAACCCGAGGAGACTGGCAGTGATTGGATGTTCGCAAAGAAGCAGGACTATTCGGAAACTGGAGCATTCAGTTCCTACGCAATTACCTTGATCTGTCAGCAGAGACCGGGCTCAATAGAGATCGAGGCGACATTCGATCCGCATGTTGTCCCCAGCGTGCAAATGGACCGATTGTTGACGCAGCTCCGACATATCATGCAAGTTCTGATTTCTGAATCTGAAGAAGCTCGTCTGTGTGAGCTGGACACTATCTGTCCTGAAGATCGGTCACACTTGAAACAATGGAATACCGCGCTCCCCGAGACAGTGGAAATCTGTGCCCACGAGTGGATCCGAAAGCAAAGTCTCGAGCAGGCCAACGCTCCAGCTGTGTGCGCTTGGGATGGCAGTTTCACTTACGGGGAGATGGAGCAGACCTCATCTGAGATGGCTGCCTATCTCCGAGGACAAGGCGTAGGTCCTAATGTGTTTATTCCTCTCTTTTTCGAAAAGTCATGCTGGACCAGCATCGCAATGCTTGCAGTGATGAAGGCCGGAGGCGCATTTATTCTGCTAGACGACTCTCATCCAGTACAACGACTGCGCGGAATATGCGATGATGCAGAGGCGCCTTTCATTGTCACGTCGGAGAAGAATGCACCTCGTGCGGGTCAAATTGCAAAATTTTCCATCATACTGGGTGATTCGCACCGATCGTGGCCACAGAATCAGACTGAACCCGCAACTCCCATGCCACGGGTCAAACCCAGAGATGCCCTCTATGCAGTCTTCACCTCGGGCTCGACGGGAAAGCCTAAAGGCGCCGTTATGTCGCATCAGTCGTGGTGCACAAGCGCCAAAGCCAACAGCGTTGCATTGTCATTGCGTCCTACTTCCCGCGTCTTTCAGTTCGCCGCCTACGCTTTTGATATCAGCATCGCAGATCATTTGCTGACTTTCGTGGCTGGCGGTTGTGTTTGTATTCCTTCTGCCAAAGATCGAGAAGGAGACCTTGCGCAGATTATCGGTAGACTCGAGGCCAATTGGGCATGCCTAACGCCGTCTGTGGCGCGCATTATCGAGCCTCGAAACGTTCCATCCCTGAAGACGCTGGTACTAGCAGGAGAGCCTATTGCGCCGGAGGATATCTCGACGTGGTCACCAGCACTTCACCTGTTAAACTTATATGGCCCCGCGGAGTGTGCCATTCTTACCACTCTGAATCAAAATGTCAACAACCCAAGTGATCCGAACAACGTCGGGCCTCCGACCAGCGCAGTGTGCTGGGTCGTGGACACAAGAAGCGTCGACAAACTAGTACCTATTGGGACAGTGGGAGAGCTCGTGGTCGAAAGCCCTATTGTAGGCTACGGGTACCTCAACAACCCGACCAAGACGGCTGCCTCCTTTATCGCCCCAGAGGCGCACCCACCGTGGCTGCGGCGATTCCGACGCACAGAAACCGCCCGTTCGCGCCTCTACCGCACGGGCGATCTGGTCCAGTACGCAGAAGACGGAACCCTGAGGTTCATCGGCCGCAAAGACACACAGATCAAGTTGCGCGGACAACGCATCGAGCTGGGCGAGGTCGAATACCACTTGCGCCGCAGTTTCCTTGACGCCGCCGAGGTCGTGGCCGAGGTTGTCGTCCCGAACGATGATAGATCACATAGCCGAAGGCAGCCGACCCTGACGGCCTTCATCCGTCCGCGGGAGCAGACTAGCCAGAAATCAAGGCCCTCGCTTCTTCAAGCGCAAATCGCCACAGCACTAACAACCCTGCGCGCCTCCCTGCCCCCATACATGATCCCGACGGTATTCCTCTGCGTAGATTCATTCCCCCTGAGCAAGTCCCGCAAGCTGGACCGCGGCCAGCTTCGCAGCATGGCCGCTGCACTGCCCCGAGAGGCATACCTCGATGCGCCCACCCTGCAGAAGCGGGAGCCGTCCGGCCCAGCAGAGGAGATGTTGCATCAGCTCTTTGCGGACACTCTGAAGATCGACTCCGCGGAATTCGGGATCGACCATGACTTCTTTAATCTGGGCGGCGACTCCATCCTGGCTATGGGTCTGGTGGCGCGGGCGCGGGCGCGCAGCTTGGATTTCACCGTGGCGGATCTGTTTGCCTATCCCACGGTGGGCGCACTTGCTGGGCAGGTGATGCGTTGTGGTAATTCGTGAATAGATCTGCTCGGTTGGATGGTCAGATCAGCTTGGATAGAGTTTTGTTCTGGATTCCCAGCCATGGCATTTGGTATTCTGGAGTTGGATAAGCGGATATTTACCAGATGTTCAGAAACATGTCTCAGAGTATGTGCAAAAGCCACATCATGTTCATTTCCGTGCAGTGTAAGGACGTAGATTCGAAGTAGCGCTCTGGGTTCTCTGGACCAAGCTTATATTGTACACCTGATTTATCTGTACGTCATGTGTGAATGCCGAGTACCAGTACTGCTCGGGAAGGTGGAGGGAGAGCTACCATTTTTTCAGGGCCGTATCAAGCAAGATGAATGGGCGTCTTCGTACGGTCATTCTACGCATTTTAGCATGTTTCTAGATTTCGAGCATGTTCACAAAGTATTTCTATGTCTATTGGACCGATGCTGTGAAATGAGGTTTCCAGATAAGATGCCATGTCCACTGATCGCGCTAAACTGGATTCGAAGCTTCCGCTGAGTCAGCGGGACCCACCGCGCTGACTTATGGTTACCTTTAAAAGCAGAGGAGCGTGGATTCTTAGCGTGGTGGGACCTTCTTTCGTGGACTGCGAGAATGTAGTGTGATGTGTAGGTTACTGTATCTTGAATGCTATGTATGGATACTGGGTTTGGAACTGATGCTTACAGTAGGTATATTGGCTACTGATCTTATCAAGATACTAACCAGAAAATACCCTATCGATCGAGAAAGTAGACTTGATATACACTAGAATATACAGACGAATCAGAAAGTATAGCTCTAGACTTGCATCCAACATGGCCAGTCTTATCAACGTAAATCCCCCGGCACAATGGAGATTCCAGTCTAGTACCACAGAGCCTTGTTCCAGAACACGCTGCGGGCGTTGGCCAGATCGTCCTGGGTCAGGTACATGGTGCTGTTGAAGACGAGCTGGGTGGCGGTGTAAGAACCGTTCAGGTACTTGGGCCAGTAGAGCTTGTCATCCGCCCACTTGGTGTTGGGGTTGCCGGTGAGGACGAAGGAGAGGAGGTATTTCTGCATTTTGCGCTGTGGGGGGTTGGATTGTGTTAGTCGGGAGGGATTTGTTATAGGTCAGGATGATAGGAGGAGGTACGGTACGTACTGCAACGGTGGAGTCGACGTCGGAGTCGCTGGAGATGGCGACACCTGCGCCAGAGGAGGAGCTGCTGCTGCTGCTGCTGCTGGAAGAAAGCGAGTAGGTAGAGTACCCTGTTGCAGTATTTGTGAGCATCCAGTTTTCGTGAGTGGCTGGGGTTTCTGGGGGGGCTGTTGGCGGAACATACAGTAGTAGCTTTGGTCGGTGCCGTGGGTAGCCTTGCTCAGGGCGACCATCGCGTTCCAGGTGTTGTTGTTCATGGCTTCAGTGAGGGCGAAATTGTGGGCGGTCAGATCGAAGGACTGTCTCATGTCTGCGAACCGGAGAGCCTGGCTCGAGTAGCTGGAGGCAGGGTACAGCTTGAGGGCCTCCTGGATGACGTTGTCCGTGATCGAAGGGAAGAAGATGCGGAGGTTCGTGATGATGTCCTGCTCGGAGGAAATGGTCGTCTCGCCCTCGTCGGTTCCCGTGTTGGCTTCATGCTGCTCGTGGGAGATGACCAGGGGACCGCTGAAGTTGAAGTGCTTCTGGTACAGCTGGGCCTCGTAGGTGTCCGCCACAAAGTCGCCGTCCACGCGAGGCTGGAACTGGTAGTCATAGGCTTCGTAGACATCGTTGGCGGCATCGGTCAGGTTGGTGAAGGCAACGTTGCGCAGACAGTCCAGGTCGCCGCCTGTGCAACCGACGGCCTTGGAGACGTTCTGGTAGAACGCTTCTCCGTGCTCGTGACCAGCGCCGGGGACGAAGCCCGGTGACATGATGTAGGCACGTCTAAAGAGCTGCTCGGCATGGCCGGCGAAGCGGGTCATCTGGAACAGGGGCATGGAGCCACCGGCCGAGAAACCGACAGCGGTGATTTCATCGGGATTTCCACCAAAGGCGCTGATGTACTTGTGCACCCACTTGAAAGCGTGCTCAACGTCCCACAAGGCAGTATTGGGAGTGCCACCCTGGTGGGCCAGGGAGGGGCCATTCGCCAGGCCAGTGAATCCAAGACGGTAGTTGGGAGCAACAAAGATGAAATCTTTAGAGAGATCGAATAGACCCTCAGGCGTATTCTGAGACTTTGATCCTGCAGTGAAACCACCTATATTGCAGGTTAGCTAAAGCAACGGTGAGGTGGCGCCAAGCGGAAAATCATACCGCCATAGGTCCAGAGCATCACAGGCAGGTTGCGGCCTTGAGCATTAGCTGGAGCCCAGACGTCCATGTAGAGACAGTCTTCCGTGGATGCACAGTCTACGTCAGATTCGGCAAGACTGCCATTGTTGATGGCCTTCTCAACGGGAGGCCATTGCGGCTTCGCGAAACGAAGGTCACCAGTAGGAACCGCGGCGAAACGAACATTCTGGTACTTGTAGTAACCGATCGAGCCGTTTCCAGCAGCAGGGGCGAGGGTGCAGTAGTCGAGAGTAACAGTGGCACTTTGTGACGCCGCGGTGGCAGTAGGAACAGCAGCAACTGACGCGGCTGTGCCTACCAGAAAGAGTGCAGTGCTTAGCGAGCGCATGGCGAAACTTCTCAAGGGGCGGTGAGATGAATGCTTTGGTTCGTTGATGAGGAATGAGGGCTAATGCTCCATTTATAGACCTGTCCAGGTCTCGTGGGAATTAAGGAAAGACCTCAGATGTACCGACAAGATGTGTAAGCGGAAGTGCGTGCGAGAGGACATGAGAGTCAGGCCTGCTGTAGACTGCATTCGTCATCGAAAAGGCGGGAAATCCGTTCAGGTCCATGAGACGTCTATACGGGTGATGGAGACATAGCGGACACAGGGGAAATGAAGGCATGTCCACTAAAATTGACTAGGAATCCATAGGCATCGATCTTGACCTCAACTCTAAGCTGGATTAAAATAGGGTTGACCCACATGGCAGACCCACGTTCCGCGTCTCTGCACGGAAGTCGACCAGGCGATGGAGTAATAAGAGTCGAAACCACGCGGCCGGTTCTCGCAGTAAAACAGCTCACTGGCTCTGGCTTGATTGCCAAGAATTTGAAAGTTGATCACCTCTATCTTTACTGATCAATCTGTATGATGAGCGGTTAAACACTTATACGCAGAGTCAAGCTCGTGTCTCATGGTTGGAGCCCGGAGATTCTTTAGTATCAGTATACAGATTGCCTGCTCAGATGCCAGGTCTCGAGAACCGCGAGCCACGCAACAAATTCGTCACTACCCGTACCAGTGGAGATTCGCCTGGGAATGAATCGATCGAGCCCGGATTTCTGCCTGGGTTGTCTTGCCACAGATAACGCACTGTTTCCGCTTCCGAATTTCAGTTTGGCATAGACAGAGCAATTCAACTGGGAAGTGTGAATAGACCTGCGGTGCCTCGCGAGGAGAATCAGGATATGACCTTGTAACCGGAGTATAACCTGCATTCACGGGGCAACTGCATGTGCTGCAAGGGTATGAGACTTTCCTGTTCGGCACAGGGGGATTATGCTGTTGGGCTTGACGCTCTGACGGCCTTCGACCACCCGCCATCGCTCCCGTGCCACACCATTGCCAGCCTTGTGGGTCTCTTGTGTCGGAGGTGAAGTCACCGTTTGGGCTGGAGGTCCTGGCTATTTAGCACCCTCTGGAGCGCGTCTATGGAAGTAGGACTCTGTTGTATTCCCAAGCCTGAGCTTTCCAAGCTTGAGAATTTTTGAATCGGTGTAAGATGGTCATTATCAGCCTCTCGTCACCTACTTGCGTATTGCGAGAGAGAGTCCTCCGTCAGATAAACTAGGCTGGTAACATAGAGCCAATGTCTGGTGTAGATCACGAGGGGGCATTGCATTCGTGTTGAAATGTGACCATATTGAATTGATGAAGCGTCAGAAGCTTAAAGAGTCATTTCGTGCCGTTGCTGCTTTGCAAGCGTGGGATTCAAGCTTTGCTATGGCCATCCTCAAGCATTTGGGCAAGTGAGAGCGTAGAGCCTTGCAGTAGAGATAGAACCGAAACAATGACAGAACAGAATCCAAAGACTGATTTGATTCAATATCCTCCAGGAATCCTTCACAAGATCGCAGTCGAATAGCACGTAATCAGTGATTGTGTATGTATACTTCGTGCAACGCACCTGGCCCAAGTCCCGAACGATCAACAATCACCGGAGAAGTATCCGAGAGTAGTGGAGGGACGGTGGAGGATAAACCAGCCACTCACAGCCACTTCCCATCAGCCACCGATGACATATGACGATGCTCCGCACCGCCACCCAGGCCCGATAAACCGATGGTATCGATGCAGCTTGTGCCTGTTATTATCGGGTTCGATCCCCGCTCCTTAGCTACAAGAATAGTGCTTCCCCCAGCTTTATCTCTAATCCCGGGCCACCGATTGAATTCTTTCAAACTGAGTTATACCTCTGCCTTACGCCTTCCCGACATCACATTATCTCAAGCAAAACCGTCGTTACCGAAGAAAGCAAAACAGTATGGTCATCGGTCTCCTCATCCTGTCCGCCATCCCCACCGTAGCGGGGGTGTCTCTCGCCTCCAACGAACAGCGGAAAGCCAACGAGCGCAAGAACGACGAGCGTCGCATGGCCAAATTCCACATCGACGTCTCCGCGCCGCCGCACAATATCGAGGACCCCGAGGTACATGGCAAACGGGTGGTTTTGCGGGACTTCAAGGTAAGTCATCGGGCCTTGGGAACAGTTCTGCCTGGCTGGTTGGCGCTTTGTCTTGTCTCCGCACCAACGGTCTCGCGTCGTCGAGGTTTTTGAAAGGGCGCTAGCTAATATTTGCACTTTACTTCGAATAATTAAAAGGTCTTTCTTGATGACCCCGACCCCACGAAACGAGATCCTCCCGCGCATACCGCTGAAGCGTTCTACATCGAGTACCCGGAGTTCGATCATATGAAACATTTGAAGCGCGGGCTGGGCGTCGCGACGACTATCTCGGACAATCCGCCCATGTTGGGGTGGATCTACGCGGACAAGGATACGCATGAGCTCAAGTATGGGAACCGGACGCAGAGTTGCGAGCATGTGATCGGGCCGTGGGATTGGGTGGACGATGAGACGACCTTGACGCTGGAGGGGAGCCGGCAGTTTGTCGCAGTCAAGGAAGACGATGGCTCGTGGGGGCTGTACTTCGACCGGGACGGGGATGAGTTGGAGGGGGTCCTGGAGGAGCAAGGGAAACTGGACAATGAGTATCTGTTGCTACGGCTGAAGAGGAATCTGATCGAGCAGCCTGACGATAAGAATAAAAACAATAATACATGAATTTCTAAGAAGCCAACGTTGCGGTAAGGGTGTTTCGCGAGGTGGGGGGAATCGTAAGTGAGTACTAGTTTGATTGGTAAAATTTTGCTTTTGGTACAGGGACACGCCGACTAGTCGTCAAGACCATCCCAGGCCTCGTTGTCGCTAGCAGCAGCATCTGCAGCGGCCGGTCGTGAGTCGGACTTCCTGGTCCGGCTGGCTTCGATCGCGCCCTTTCTCTTGTTCTCCATCCGTCGTTCGTAACCACTCTTGGTGCTGATTCTCGTCTTCTTGTCCTCTTTGCCGTCCTTCTTGGACTGTCGGGCCTTGACACCGTGCTTCTTAAGCTCTTGCTTGCTCTTCTTGCTGAGGTCGGGGAGAGCGTCGAGCAACCACTTTTGCACAGACTTCTCCTCTGTGGTGCCCCGTAGTTTCTCACTGACGTCGATGACGTTGGCGATGCTCTTGACATAGGGAATATCTTCCTTAGTATAATATGTTACGGCGATGCCGCCTTCACGGCCCGCTCTGCCAGTTCGTCCGACACGGTGGACGTAAACGGCGGCGGAATTGGGGATATCGTAGTTGACCACACCATTGATGCCTCGGAAGTCAACACCACGAGCTAGCAAATCGGTCGTAACAAGAATCCAGATCTCGCCCTTGCGGAACAGTCTCATGATATCGGACCGCTGGTTGTCGGACAGGTCGGAGTGAAGAACGGCAATGCGCGAAGAGCCACCGGCTTCAGCAGGGATGTCGTAGCGCAATTCTGAGTGGAGGGCAATGGCACGAGGAATAGTCTGGGTAAAAATGAGGAAGGGAGGTCGAAGACGAACATCTGAAGCCGCTGCTGCCGCAGGGTGAAGGAGTTGTCTGAGTCCCAGCAGCTTTCCTTGCTCTGTTGCGGCGTAGACCAGCTTGTGTTTGATGTTCGGAATAGCGGAGTCCTTCAGTCCCACAACGAGACGGAGGAGGGGATAAGACTTGGTTGTGCTCAACATATCTTTGCGCTCCTTGATGGTAGACTTGGCCAAATCTTCGATGTTAGAGCCCATGGTAGCAGACCACAAGCTTGCCCGAAGTTCAGGGTGCGTGCATGCTCGCCAGATATCGAGCGTTTGCTCGCGGAACAGAGGGTCCAACAGAACATCGGCTTCATCCAGGACAATGTTTCTTACCAGAGGCAAGGTCGCCAAGGGTTTGGTCTTGTTTGCAGAAAGTGCATTGACCAACATCAATGGCGTCGTGACGAGGATGTCACTCTTGGTAACGGGGGCTTTCCCCTTGCTGCTCTTCTCCGTCTCTTGCTCCTCATCCTCAGATCCAGAAGAGTCCTCCTCACTCTGCTCATCCAGAACACCCTTAGCATCGTCGCCCTCATCGTCGCGTTCGACAACGCGCATGCCCTTCTTCATCAGAGTAATCTTGACACCAGTTCCGAGCGCCAGTTTCCGTCCTTCATTGACGATCTGACTGGCAAGCTCCTTCGTGGGAGCAACAACAACAGCGAAGATACCACGCTCTTCCTGTTGCTGGTGGTGGTGTCGGACAATCTTGTTAATGACGGGGATCATGAAAGACAGCGTCTTACCACTGCCCGTCGGCGCCACCACCAGAAGATCAGGCTCGACCGTGCCAGTCGTACCCGCCTTCTGGGCAACCGACTGATCCCCCAGTAACAGAGGCAAGCTCCCCAACTGAACCTCTGTGGGGACCGTAAACCCTTGCTCGGCGATGTTCTCCGCCAGCCGGCGCGAGATGTTGTACCTGGTACGCAGCTCTTTGAACGAGACCAAAGGTTGCGGGAACAACTGGCGTGCCTTTTTCAGCTCCTTTTTCGTGAGCGGTTGAGCCGACGACGAGCTCTCTTTTTCTTGCTTTCTCTTCTTCGTTTTCTTCTTGTTGGACTCGTCACCCTCCGCCGGCGGCGCTGCCGCCGCCACTTGCTGTACCCCCTCCAGGTCACGCATATCCGTGACCTTGATCTTGTGCGTGTTCAAGATCGTGCGCCGCTGTACTTCATCCATCGACTCGCCCTCTTCCTCTTCCGACTCCACCTCCTCCTGCCCCTTTGCCGCGGCAGCCCGCTCCTTCTTAGCCGTCGAGGCAGAGCTTTTGCCTGCGCCGAAGAAATCTAACCCTGGCAGGTTATCATCATCATTCTCCGAATCCGACGCCACGGCCGGCGCATGGGTTCTCTTGCGCTTTTTGCTGGCGCTGACGCCACCATTCTTCCGCAGCAGTTCCTCGGCCTCCGAGGCGTGGAAGAGCTGGGGTGTCTGCGCCTTGCCTTTAGATGGCAGAGTTGATGAAGAGAGGGTACTACTAGCGGTACCGGTCTTCAATTTGGTGGCTCTCGTCAAGAGCTTGAAGGCATCCATTTTTTGGGTGGGGTCACGATTTTACAAGACCATGCGACTTGACTTTATTAGATAAAGAAGGGACTCAAGAACATGCACGCCCCCTTTGTTTGCTCGTTTGTTATTTGGGAAATGACCGTTGAAGTTGGTCAGGTTCCTCGCGGTCCTTTTTTTTTGGGTTGTCCAGGGAAAAAAAAGTTCGATGTTCCAATTCTCCCGCACGGGCCAATCAGAGAGGGGCCTGGCCTCTCTTCCTGAGGCTTCAAGGTTCGCTTTCGGTTGTCCAACACAGAACTTCATAATCGATTGTTTAGTTTGTCCAGTTTGTCCGTTCGCCAGGATTGTGCTTAGTGGACTTGATATACAGGACGATACAGGGCAATTCAAGATGAAAGAATGAGATACGGTGGAGAGGTTGAACAGCTCTCATAGACACAGTACATTTATCGTATGGCGGTTATCTTTGTGGGCCCATCGTTCTTATCTCCTTGATATCCCTTCCGTGCTCGGAATCCCCATTGCAGCCAGAATCTTCCTACGAGGACGGCCACGCTTTGTTGCTCAACGGGACTCTCATTTTTGAGAAGACACATTGAATTCAAGAAGATATCTAAAAACATTCGAGCGCAGGTGGAACAAGTCTATCTTCTAACCGGACGCACACACTTCCAGCAAGGCTTTTGATACCCAAACACTTTTTGGAAACAAAAGCAAACATGTTCCACTGAGAGAGACAAAAAAAAACAAATACACCAGTCACCTCAGACAACAGTTGAATTCCATCGTCTATCATACAATAGTACAGCGCACAAAGGAAACGGGGGGGGATGTTTGTGTAAAAGGGAAGGAAGACAGGCTAAGGCACAACTGCGTGGTATTTATCTAATGGTGTCCGGCGTGCTCAGGCTCTCCCCGGTAGCCGATGATGTTCATCCGACCGATCATCTCACCGACGGTGAAGAAACCGATCACCTCCGCGGCAGTGACACCGGCGAAGGCGAGCTCCTTCTTGTTGGCGTTGCGGATCCGGGCAATGATGTTCGAGGGGGCGAAAGCGGAGTTCGTGGGGTTGCGGATCAAGGGCTCGAGGTAGGCCTGGAAAGTGGCGACATTACTAGATATTGGGGTCAGCAACAATGCCTGTGGTGCTTCTCCGGGGGCCCCGACTAAGTCTGGGGGAGCGCTTACGGAGGGGTCATGTTCTGTCCACGGAAGACCAGCTTGGCGAGCTCGAGACCGACTTTGCTGTAGTAGACGGTGGGAGGGATCATGCCTATATAGCAGAGAAGATTGATTAGCAATGGACAGATGGGACATGGTGTATGTGTGATATCCAGCATCCTCTGCACATCCGGCTATGGCGAACCAGACTGCTCTCGCACTGACTGTCGTGCCACAGCAGCCAGGAAGAAAGAAGAAGAAGGATATATAGCATATCACGGCGTGAGGTCAGGGGAGCTCTCTTACTCTCGACGAAAGAGATGACCTTTCCGGTTCTTCCACCAACCTTCTTCAGGGCGTTACCGAGACCCTGAGCAGCGTTGGAGATGGCGGGACCAGCCGAGGATTGAACACGAGAGAGGCCCTCAGCGGCCTTGGAGGCAGTGGAAGAAGCAGCCTCGCCAGCCTTGGAAGCGGCTTCCGAGGTGGAAGAGGCGTGTCTGACTGCGGTCCTGCGAGCCAGGAACTGCGATTGCCGGAGGACGGCACGGGACGCCGGGGCGGACATCTTGAAAACCCTTGGAAAGAAGAAAAGACGAGAAGGGGAGAGAGTGACTGATCAAAGTCGCTAGATGGAGGACAAAAGGGGTCCAATGGCGGGTGGTTCAAGAGCCGGAGACGTTAGATCGTCGCGCAATTGCAGGACCAGAATCTGAGATTTGAGGTTCGGGAAGTTCAGGAAGAGCCTCCACTCCCGCACCACGTGATCCATCACCTTTTATGCCTGGTTTATACTCCGCCTTACACTTGTTGGATCACTTCAGAAACAATTGGCACTGATGGTATTTACTGGATGCGATTTTGAACTTCACGTCACTGGCAACGGTCATATAATACTTAAGGCTCTATATGTTAGCACTGATGAACTGTAATATGGTCCCTGAATTCAACACAAAGATAGTCCCCAGAAACTGCTTCTCTCCCTACCTAGTGGCCTTATAAAGAATTTCGCAGGGCTGTCGTTACTGAAAATCGAGATCGTGATTTCGGCTACACCTAACCATCAGCCATTCAGTTCGATGCGAACGACCATCTCAATGATTGAGGTGAAGAAGCGTTAGCTCATTTGTGTATTGAAACTGTATACAGGGGAACAATCTGCCAAGTTATCCCTCGCGCTATATATTATTGACACGGACTCGCCTTTCTTGGGCTCCATTGCCCAATACTCAAGCCGACACATACTATACACCCATCATTCGGCATTGGACTGTAACAGGTCTATCGAAAGCTCTCTGGCAACTCATGAGCTAAGACCTAGTACCAACAAGCGCTATTGCACGGATGCTACATACCAGCTCCCTGCGAATTCGGTCTGTGCATCCAGAACAGACACCCTGTTACTGGGACCCTTCTCCGACCAAACTAAAGCTTTACAAAGCCCTGCCATTGGTGTCATGTTCTTGTCAAATAGAGCAGAATATGTTTTTTGCAATAGTATAGTCTAACCTTTGCTGTTTGTTGCTTTGCAAACTAGGCCCGTCTTTCCTATGCAACACAACTGGACTCATCTACCGTCTATCCATTCACCGATGCTACTTTGATGGCCACTTACCTCACTTAACCATTCAGTCAAACAAGACTAGGTCAGTTTCGATGGCCATAGAATTTACAAACTAAAGCATTATCAGCATGGCTTTGTTACTTGCAATTTTCGATGGGCACGATTTAACAGTATTGTGGACATATTAATGACTTGGGCAGGATGTCGTCCCTGAAAATCCATTGTCGCCCCACGACTGCACAAGGCTGATGGAAAGCCACCTCAATACAGATTTTGCGACCACGCAAGCCACCGTGCAGAGAATCATGGATCACAGGGTCCAAGGAAGCTTACATGTCCCTGGCTCGGTAGTGTTGCCCACCTCGTTGGGACGATCAGACGGTCTTTCGATATGCCGCTTAGTCACCGGCTCACCCCGAGGCCCCCGACATCGCACTGTGGCTGAGACTGATACTTACATAGTAGACTACTCCGTACGCGTTGGCCATTGGGGCCGTACTTGGTTGCTCTGCTGCGCCATGAAATCTAGACTCTTATCAGACATCAATCTTGCGCTCATGGATAGTCATTGGTTGCGATGAAACATCGGGCGACTGCTCCAAGAGTACCTCTAAGAGCATGCATACCGCCCCCATTGCCCCCATTGTCCGCATAAATTTATTTCCCCAAACTTTCGACAGTATACGGCTCGACATTCTGGAAAGGGATGACCATTGGCTTAGCCAGGCTCCTTTCGAAAGTCATCCGGTCGATCTGTCGGTCTAGTAGGCTGCAGAAAAATGAGCATTTCCACTCTATATATCTTGGCAAATTTGCCGAGACATCCCTCATGCGAAGCTTTTTCGGGACAAGCTATACCGCCAACAACCCCCCCCTTTTCGATGCACCAATATGGTGCTATCGCAATAGGTCACCATGCAGCCAAAACGGTATCATCTTGACCTACATTCGTGGGTTCTTCAGCCCGATACGTCATGAAACGTGGGCGACAGCCACAATCATCTATGCGGTGGACAAATTGTCTGCCTAACGGGGTATACGTACGCCTCGATCGGATGGATCCACAACGATGACCCTCACCCAATTCTGGGCCGAGAAACAGAGATGAAAGCTGCGAAGACAACGCACCAATTTGGACATTCAAGCTAATTGAAGTATGGTTCGCCCCATCCTCGGTGTGGCGCGCCGTAAATAGTAGATGTCAGACAGCTCGCTGAGTGGACAACCTTATAGCGAGGATCCATTGATTTCCTCTACAAGTTTCCGATAGTCCCCTTTAAATTGAAGCCCGTTTCCTTTCCCTTTGCTGCGATTGTCCCTCTTCGTCCTAACTCACAACATCGCGCATACATACCCACACCGGAACAAATCCTTGACACAATGTTCGGGGACAGTCTCTTCAGCTGGTTCAGCTCCTCCAAGAAGGAGGAAGCGCCCCAGACTACCTGGGATCCGAACACATTGACTATGGTCCAGCCTCAGAGCCCCGAGTCTCCTTCCACCAACGCTGTTGTTGCTGAGCAGCCCGTACGTGTGATCACGAGTCTTCCGCAATCGACTAGAGTACAGCTAACGCCATGTGACATAGACGCCCGATAGCCAGATGAACATGCAGCTGCGTGGTGGCGGTCCTCCCCCTGGGCCTGGTGACGAGTAAGTGACCAATGATCACCGTATACCCTGAACTTTGCTAACATGCTAGATAGTTGTTGCTGCTGCCTCGACTGCTTCTGCTGCTGTGGGGACTGCTGCGGTCCCGATGGGCCCCCTGGTGGCTTTGGCGGCCCCGGTGGCCCCGGTGGTGGCTTTGGCGGTCCCGGCGGCCCCGGTGGTGGTCCTGGAGGCCCTGGAGGGCCAGGTGGCCCCGGCGGTCCTGGCGGCTGGTAAGGATGGCTTCGATGCGACAGCACTTTGCGTGCTCAACGTCGGTCTAAAACCGACTCACCCGATCTGTGATACCATATTGATTGTTGGTTCTGTGGCATGGAGGAAAAAGAGGTTTATTGTCGGGTCTGGGGCCTCTCCTGTTATGGCCCAGAAGGCGAGCTGTTTATGATGTTGTTCTATGTCTTGGTGTATCCTGGATGAGCTTTTGACGGTGTTTATTTATTGCTGTATAGATATTCTAGACTGCTTGCAAGCGATTCGTTGGTCTCCATACGAATGTAACCTTGTCGCTTCATCTTCATTTTTTCTTGATCTCTTATCTACTTCCTGTGTTGAGTTCTTGGCAAATTTGCTGTAGTAAGCACTGGAGGGTCAACACTTGAAGTATTCTCAGCTAGGGATGGAAGTTTCCGAAAGTGGCACTTGTGGAAAAGCAGGTACTTCGGTGGTCACATAACCATGTGCAGTTGTGCAAAATGATGCTGACCAACTAGGACCAGATATTCTCGGCCTTTGACTGAGGGAAATATAGTATATTAGAATGATTAGATTCAAATACTCAACCAAGCAGAATGTCTGATCTCAGTCAAGCATCAAAATCTCCATCGTCACAAATGCTAGCATAGGGCTGACATCTGACCCCAGTTACTTCGGCATTTTCTCGCACAAAGGGTACATGCTCAAGTTAAAATGCGAGTAGGTTATATCTTGAAGTCGGTATTTCCTGGTAGCCTGCGGGGCCGATAGCGTAGTGGGCAACTTGTTGCGCGCAAAACACGGAAGGTCATGCGTTCGAATCCTGAGGAGGGCGACGGTGGTTGTCCGGAAATCGGAATAGGTTAATATACCCCGCCCTGGGGATGAGAACAGGCACTTTTTTTTTTGTTTGTTTTTCTCTCTATGTTTATTGTAAGCTATCTCTATATCTGCACAGACTTCGTACATATGATGGCAGTTCTCCTGTGGGAGGGAGGGTTATGGCTGAGACCGATCGTGTTCTTGTTCCCTGGCATGTTGCCTCTCTTCTCCCTTCGTACTTGGTACAACTACCTAGCTGCTGTCAACTAGTGTTGTTCCATAACGATCATCGCATGCAAAAATCGGCGAAATCCTCATTGCCCAACTCACCGAGAAGACTGCCTACCTCTCTCCAGCTTCGTCGGTCGTGCTATCATGCTCTGCCATCACCGGACCCGTTCTAGACCTCAGCCATCTACGGGAGAAACAGAAGCTCGGCGCTTACACTCTCTTGCACATTCATCGTTGAGTACACATCCATCAACTGCCAGCAGAGCGACGAAGAAATCGTCTTCCAAAGAGCTCCCTGATTTCTTGCGAGCAAGCATGATAGCGAATTCAGGATGGCGGGCTGCACATAAGCATGAAACCGGTCAATCAAGGTCTGCTCGTGGTTCGAAGACCTGTGGGATGTGGGAACCGTTATTCAGAGGCGCTGGAAGGACGATGTGGACACATGCAGTTCCTGGTGTCTAGCTTCGACTATTTGAGGACATGTGAGTATTAGTGCCCGAGGATGTCCGTGTGATGGACCAGTTTCTGACAAAATGATAGTTTAGGATGTCATCGCAATCGCCTCCCGAGTCAAGTAGCAAATCAAGTCGAGCTCTTCGTCTCTTCGCCGCTCAGGTCGCTCAGATTATTCATTCTTCATACCTAAACTCCCAGTGCAAGGCTCAGAAAATATTATTCGTAGGAGCATGCACTTCTGTCTTCCATCGCTGAGATTGCATCGAGTCGTTCGCACTATGCACCCACCAAACGAAGACGATTCTGTCGGATCTGAATTCGAGGCATAGGCTTCTGTTCCAAAGGAAAGTGATGAGATCTAAGACCTGGGGTCTTGGGCTCACGAGGAGAATACCAAGGTCAAGAGGTATTGCTGCAATGCTGTAAGACTATTTCTACATTTACGCTGACAGCAATTTGATTTTCGCAGAACATGAGCGCAAGAACGTCATGAACAACTCAGAGTTCACGCGGATTATCAATCTTCTATACTATGTCTTACAATCCACCTCATTACCAGCTCACCAAGGTCGCCTCTTATTAGCCCGAGTCGACAAAAGCAGGTGATCTGTGTGGTGGAAGAACAATCAAGCATCATTCGCGGAGGACCCGTGCCAAGAAGACTGGGGAAGGCAGTTCAGGCACCTGCATGTCTTGGAAGGCGGGGAAACACTGGGGGATAACCGCAATCACTGAACTACACTGGCCACTCCGCCGGAGGACCTGCAGGGAACCAGACTGCTCCACTCTTGGTCCTGCACCATGTGCTCCTCCCCAGGAGATCTCGGGGTAATTCATACCCGGCTCAGTCTATGCACAATGCACCTTCACTTGCTTGGCGGGCGGCGGGAAGAGGGGATAATTGGACCATAAAGATACAATGGTACCGTATTCATTCCAATTGTTCCCACTCAGAAAGCCAGACTGCATTATGTTGGCATCTATCGTGATTGGGTTGGCTTTGGGCTTACAGTCGTCCGCCTCGCCGGTGGCCCGGTCAAAGCCAAATCCACCATTTCTGATCAATGTGGACGATGAAACGGCTATCATTGGAAATGACTTCTGGAATGCCACCATTGGTCGTCAGTATGGCACCAAGCTCTACTACAAGAACGTTGACCTAGTGGGTGACGCATGGGGTCACTATGTGTCCTACAGTACGACCCTCTTCCTTATCTCCTCCCTCGTTCATTGTATCTCTTAGTTTACCTCTAATCTTTTGTTCAGATGGCGCCCAAAGCGACTTGAATCTTACCAATGCACGGATACATAAAGTCACTGGCGACTACACCGATATCGCTTTTACAGCGACAGAGGGGGAATTTCATTGGGTCTTGACGCCCACGTTGACGGGTGCATATCAGTACTTCGTGAACAAAGCCTTACCTACTCTTGGTGAATTTCGTACTCTCTGGCGGCTTGCAAACGATAGCTTTACCCACGGGTGGACGGACGAAAGGAACGAGGCACTGCCGCCCCTGTCGGACATTGTGAATGCCGTCAAGATCCAAGATGAGACCTGGCAGCAAGCTGACGGCACGTACATCACAAAATATGATTTCGCAACCTTCTTGCCGGTAATTGAAGGGCAGTCCGCTCTCTGGGGACTCTACGGGCCGCTGGGTGGCCAAGAGGCGAGTGGCGAGCAAGTGGGCTCGTGGTATATTCATGGGGGTAAAGACTACCTGAACGGCAACCATCTGAAGCAGGAGTTGTTGGTGCACCGGGAGAGTCAGACTGGGGATGCGGTGCAGCTGAACATGATCCATGGCACGCATTATCAGGCCGTCAGCAGCGACGTGTTCCCGGAAGGTAAGACCTGGGGCCCATGGTTGTGGTACTTGGTAAGCTTCGCCCACAATGCTCGCCGTGTTCAGCGACTTCAACATATCTGACAATCGTGACAGAATGATGGCTCCATCCAGGACGCGGCGACTCGCGCCAAGAAGGAGATTGCGGCTTGGCCATACGACTGGATGCAGGATAGCCATGGATACCATTCCCGCGGCAGTCTTCGAGGACGCATCGTGCTCTCCGACGGCCAGGCTGCGAGCGGGGCGGCAGTTTTCTTAGGGGATAACCAGTCCAATACTAGCACGTTGGACCAGGGAGCCTGGTACTACTACCGGACATATGCCGATGAGAACGGGTACTTTACCTTGAAGAATGTCCGTGAGGGAACATGGGGCCTTCGGGTTTTCGCTGCTGGAGGCGACGCGGCAGGCGGAGTGACTACTGTCCTCGAGAAGAACGACATTTCCGTCCACAGCGGCGAAGCCCTGTGGTTAGGGGACGTGACTTGGGCTTCGCAAGGCCGCGAACTCATCTGGCAGATCGGGGAAGTCGATCGCAAGGCCACCGGTTTTTCCTACAGCGGTGCTCCCCACAAATTCGCGCGGGGACTCAACTGCCCGGCCAACCTGACCTTCACCGTGGGGAAGAGCCAGAGTAAGGACTGGTGCTTCGAGCAGTCATCGCTGGGTACGTGGGCGGTGGAGTTCGACCTTTCCCGCAACTCGACGTCCCAGGGACGGTCAGCGGTCCTGTCGGTCGCGCTGGCCGGCTTCAGCGCAGGGAGTTCAGCTACGGTCTCTGTGAACGGGGTTTCCGTCGGAACGATCAGCTCGAGCGTTCTTGCCAGCGACCCCAGTAGTTATCGATGTGGCACGCTGGCGGGTGAATGGCATCTGCTCGAGTTTCCGGTCTCGGCAGATGCGCTTCGCAACGGGGCCAACTCCGTGGAGTTTACGATCACCAAGTCGACGCTGTTTCGCGGATGGATTTATGACAGCGTGTTGTTGGAATGGGCATGAGTTGAGTGTGGGCACTATTGAAAATGTATTTTTTCTGCGATTAACCTCGTTTTGCCTCATCCTCTGCTGAATAAATTCGGTGAACGACTGGATTTGTTGGCGTAGTTGACAAAGTGACCCGGTGAGGTTTGAGACCTGCAATCGAGTAGGCAAATTGGAGATCTGCTAAAGATCGTATGCAACCTCAAGGTAAATGCAGCCTCTAGATCCTGAGATCTGGCTCAGTATGCAAATTGTCTGCGGCGCAGGTTTCTGCCATGGTACACTTTCCCGGTGTAGCGCAAGTCGTGCTGGGTTCCAGAACTGAGAGGATGGAAAAGTCCACTGCCTCTCCCCCTCCCCCTCCCCCTCCCTTTATCTCTTCATCCTCTACATCCTTGTCTTAAGCACCCCAACACTATGCCGTCTCAGATAGATTCCACACTTGCTACCGCGCCTCATTCATGGTTGACATCACCGATAAAAGGGATGAGATCCCCGCAAACAGCGAATCCAAACGAATCGTTTCCATCTATCTCTACGCAGCAGGGCTCAAGATTCAAGGGGGAAATTGCATCAAGCGGTTTATATGCATCACTCTGACATTTATAAGGTCTACTTCCTCAGATACGTCAACGCCGCGACACAAAGCGCGTCCATTCCCGTCTTCATCGTTGGCTGGATCGCCGGGGCAAATGAGGCGGAATGGTTGCCAGCAATCTCGTGGAGGCGATCTTTGCTGTCTGCCTCATCCCACACTTCCGGATCGATGCCACCAAAGAACCAAAACGAGCATGGCCGGCCCTGGCTAGTGCCAAGGATCGAGAAGTCTTCGCTGACATTCGTCCGAGGTGTGTCAGCGTCAAACCTGTCTGCAAAATGCTCCGCGAAGCAAGAAGCCAGTTCAGCCGTGACTTGCTTGTCGTTGATCGTGGGAGGGAAGTTTCGAGTGGGCGTGAAGACCGGTGGCCGCGGCGAGCCACTGGCCATGCACTCGGCCTCGACGATACGCTTAATCGCGGCGAGGATCTTATCCCGGGTCTCGACGCTCACCGAGCGGAAATCCACGCCTAACTCGGCGGTGTCCGGGATGACGTTCTCCGCCTGGCCTGCCTGCAGGCTCCCGACTGTCACGACCGCCAGATCACTGGGGTCAATCTCGCGGCTCACGATCCCCTGCAGCCGCACCACCACATTCGCCGCCAGCAGCACCGGATCCACCGTCTGATGCGGCAGGGACCCGTGACCCCCACGCCCGAACAGCGTGATCTTCAAGCTATCCGCCGCAGCCATGATGGTCCCCGGACGCGAGCCCACGCTCCCGGCGCGCATGCGCATCACATGCTGGCCAAAGACATAATCCGGCACGGGGATCTTGTCGTACAGGCCGTCATCAACCATTGCGCGGGCACCCTCACCGCGCTCCTCGTCAGGCTGAAACACCACAATCAGTGTTCCACTCCAGTCGGATCGCATCCGCACCAGCCGTTCAGCCGCCGCCAGCAGACACGTGATGTGCATGTCGTGGCCGCAGGCGTGCATGGCCGGCTTCTCCGCACCACTGGCATCCTGCATCATGACCGTGCTGGCGTAGGGTAAGCCCGTGATTTCTTGCACGGGGAGAGCGTCCATGTCCGCCCGCAGAAGGACGGTCTTTCCGGGCCCGTTGCGCAGGACCCCGGCGACTCCGTGACCCCCGATCCGGGTGTGGATCTCAAAGGCATCCCATTGCGCGAGATGAGCTGCTATTCTTTCGGCAGTTGCTTTCTCTCGTTTCGAGAGTTCGGGATGTGCGTGGAAATGCTTGTAGAGAGATTCGTAGGGGGTCAGGTCTAGGGGGTTGGCGGCCAGGAGCTCCGATGGGGTCTTGCGCGTCATGTTTGGGATTGTTGATGTCTGTGAAATGTAGAATTGCGGTGGTTGTTAGCAAACTTGTTGCTAAGATAGAAGAAAAGATGATGACTCAGGGGCATATGACAGCTTCTATATAACAGGCAGCAATCTACTAGCGCCGGGTCAGAAGCGGCACAAGCCGAACCCGACATGAGGCCGGCGGGTCAAGGCGGGGACAGTGATAATATAGCCCTAGATCAGTCTGGAAGCTATATCCTTTCTGAGAGGGGGTGTCGAAGTAGACCAATTGAATTGGTCATTCAGTCATTTGGCTCGGATTATTCAAGTGGCTGCTCTATTGTGTGATTCACTGGTGGTAGGCGGCCTATATCGTTGAACTCGGCAGGCGGCACATCGTCCACATTCACACTCTGGGATAGCCCTAGCTATTCGGATATCCTCATATTCAAGTGAAGATCAGACATCTACTTATCCAGTTCTTCTATCCCTCTCTCCTCTCCTCTCCTCTCCAACAACTCTTCCAGCAAGAATCTTCTTCTCATACTGTACGTACGCTTACAAAACTCAATCAACAGATCTTCCCTGTTCGATTGACACCATCCACCCCACTTTATACTAGTCAGTCTCAAAGGTCTCCTATTATACCTACTTTGCTTATCCTGCCTGAATGTCTCTCAACAAGCTAGGAGAGCCTTCATATCGGAACGAGTTCACCCAGCAGCTGGAGACAACTCTGTTTGCTAGGCTACCTGACCTCGAAACAACCTAGCCTGCCGATTTGCTGCACAAAACAAGCCAAGTTGTACGGCCATGATTCGGAATACACCAACAAAGAGCTCACATTTCTCGACCTATCGACTCTGTGTCCTGAGTTCGACACCGATCGGGAACCAGATTTCGAGTCCACCTACGTATTCAACTTCGACAGAGAAGCCCCAACCGATTCCGACGCACATTCTGAGACATCGACCAAGATGCCAACAAAGGAAAGAATCGGCGATGGTGCCCGGAATCAGATAAAAAGGTTCAAGTCCAGAGCCGAATTTTTGCCCTACCCGGCATTCCACCGCAGATTTCGGACAGCCCCTTCCTGACGCAGCGGGCGAGTATATGCGCGACGAGAAAGGGACTTTGGATGCACCCTGTGGACACAATAAGTTCCACAATCGACGCCTGGAGTATCTATGCTAATCCCACTTTGTCCATTGTGCCACATCCTTTGTGGACGATCCTCATCGAGGATGGACGGGGCTAAGGTCTTGACAGAGTCAGATAGACGACTCGAAGATATCGGCCTGAGCGAGATCGTCTATATATTTTCGAGTGGCCCCAACCATTGGGAGCCGATCTAGAAGCGGCGCATATCATTCCCACTATTCTACACCGAGCCTGAGCATCTAGCCGCCACAAATGGCCAATGCACCTCGGGCTTGGCCAGACAGTACATCAAGTCCTGAAGCCGGACCGTGTATGCATCTGCTTCTGTAGCTGGCACCGTTGTTACTAAATAGCTTAGACAAATTTGATTGCTGGTTCTCGCGCATCGGGACCGACCCGGGGACGATCATCGACCCCAGCAACCAATGGTTGGTTTGGTCAAAGTTGAGCGAGCATGTCCTTCAACACACCGAAGAACAGCAGGATGCAAGACCCTCCTCAGACGGAGACCATTTTGATTTGATTGGGTCAACCAGAAGAAGCAGGTAGGCGCTGAATCAAGCTTTGGGAGGGGATTTGGACTACAACTATATAGTCCTACTGCATCGAACTGCGCTGGCTTCGGCCAGAACTTCGGTCCAAGAATTCTCGACCTTGATTGGGAAATTGTGCAGGGAGGCCCTGGCAGTGGCGACGTCAAGGATAGTAACTCATGGAAGCCATCCTTATGTTGGTTCCCAGAACATAGCCCGTTACGAATCCGGTTAACGAGGTAGAGGTAGTTGTGAAGGACTACTGGACAGCAGACTAAGCTGCTATAATCTGTTTTGCCTTGTATGATGTTGTTAAACAGCCGAGGAAAGGGGGTCTGTCAGTCGGCTTATGTATTCCGGGATGAGAATCACCAGCGACTAGGGTGGTTGATACTGGCCAACGACCTCTCAAAAGGTTGCGCATGGCGCCTTGGTTAGCCAGTGACCTCGCAAAAGGTTGCACTTGGGGCACTTTCTTTTCGTGATATGGAATTGAACTACAGAGGGTCGGGAATGATAGATCTTTGTGTGGGTTTGGTGCTGGTACCGCTGGCATGAAGGGCACGTGGCTTATCCATTACCTCTGAATGATGAGAGGGTTTGTATCAACCGAATAGATAATGAGATTAGTTCCGCCTCGATAGGTAACAATGACGAATACGGGTAAGGTTAGCAATGATGCATCCTGGAAATGTAGGGGACATATAAAGATCAGACCCGTTAGTATTGTGACTTTTCTTCTCCGTCGTACTCGCCCTCACCCAGACCGCACACCCTCCCCGAAACCTCCGTCTGGCACCACCACCCGTCAACCCCTCTCAACATGCCTGCCTCTTTTTTGGAACTTCTTGAGAAACTGCTCGAGGGGACCGGTAACCGGAAAGCAGCCCAAAAGCTCCGCCGGTGGCAGCACGGACGGCAATCGTGCAACGTAAACACATTGGTCCTCGAGTACATCGAAGCGGAGACCAAGCTGCGCTTCAACATCCAGCGGGAAGCCAGTGTCCAAATGGAGCATGAGGCTCTTTTCATCAGTAGTACTTGTAGCATCGACAACGACAAGAAAACAACGGCATCGACGGTCTCGAGGATGGAGGCACTGCAGAATGAACTGCGTTCGCTCTCAGAAGGCATTTGGCACCAGGAGCGCAAGATGGACATGGTTCACGCTCGGCTCTGTTCCCTACCGATCCGACGGGCCCTGGTCAGCTGCCACAAGGACAAGGAGTGGTATTTGTCGGAGTGGATGCGGAGGGACTGCGCGCGCCGCGAGGGCTGTTGCGCGCGGGAGTGCGGCTGCTGTCGGCGGCCGCGGAGTGCGCGGCGGCCGCAGCATCGGGGCCATTGCACCGCGGTGCGTGCGTGTTGCGAGCAGAGCAGAGGGTTTGCGGTCACCGGGAAGGATGTCTGGGAGCCGGGGAAGATGGCTGGGGCGTCGAAAGAACACCAGTTGAATCTTTATGCGACGCGGTTGAGGGATGCGTATTTCTTCGGGCTGTGAGATTGGGCTGCATGCTTGCTGCGCTTCGGTTCTCTTTGCGTTTCTTTTTCATGTGTTTCTCTCCGAATGTGTTATGCAGATTGCTTCTATGGATTGCTGAGGCTAATAGGATTTGTGTGTCGGATACGAAAAAAGTCCGTGCAGTATAGAGTTGAGAACAGACCAACCGACGATCCCACCATCATATCGCGCCGGATAACAGATTGTGGCGGTGCGTGCACATACGCATGAGATGTGGCGGTGGCGCGTGGCACACGCGGGGACCCTTGCATGTGACGCGGTCCTTGAAGGGGTGATATCATCGCCCATGAGCGAGCGAGCGCCTCTTGCCTTCCCCCTCCCCAAGAACACAGTGCTGGCGCGTCCAAGACCATTTTTCTTCTTCGTTGAAATCTCTTGCAAATCTCTTGCAAACCTCTTACCATCATAAAGATCTTCGATACTCGCGCACAACATCAAGCAAACACCCGTACTATAAGCGCTTATCCTTATCTTGATTATCATCCACGCGGCGCAAGTGGAGTAGACAGACAGACCGTTCCATACTTGCCTTGTCCCACCCACGCATATTCCCTCCCTTCGCATCCGCCTGCGTCCCTGGCAAACGGCTCCCTTTTCCGCATCCTGCCTATTTATTAATCTCGCATTCCCTGATATTATTCTTCTTTGACAGAGAAAATCAAAACTTCATTGATAACATATTGAAAGTCAGAATATGCGATAAGTCCAAATCATGCAGCAATTCAAGACCTGGAGGCGTGCGTCCATGCGACAACAATCACAACAACCACCAAGCCATGACCCAGTACTGACGGCCGAGGACGAAGCCTTTCTACGCGGGATCATGACAGACCCTGCGAGCACCAGCCAGGAATCTGCCCCACAAGCTACCGGATTGAATCGCCAGATATCGCCCGTCTCGCCGGTGGGGACAGAGGTCCAAGAGCCTCCCTCGGCGCAGTCGCCGGTGTCACCGGTGGAGGAATACGGGAGAGAGCTGGGGGAGGAAGAACGCAAGGCACGGGAGGCTACTGCGGCTGCTTCTACAGACCGGAACGGGAGCACGGCTGGTGTGAATGCGCCGGAGGCAGCAGCCAAGGTGGAGAGTTCCTCGCCGCCGCAAAGGAAGGGCCCGTGGGGTTGGCTGCGGCGACGGAGCACGGTCATGAAGAAGGTATAGTATACTCATCATGCCGGCGTGTCTTGTATTTGTATCTGTGTAATCAACAATTGATCTTTTAGGAAACCGGAACTACGAATGAGACGCCTACCAAAGCAGATAACAAGCCCAGCGAGGCCCAGCAGGCCGCCGAGACGGACAAAAATGAAATCGACCAGGAGAAGGAAGATATGACGGAGATTTTGGAGAGGCTGAACCTGGCAGCAGAGAACAATTATGTATTCTCGATGAGCAACGAGACGCGGGAGTTGTTGCGCAAATTCACTTTGATCTTCAAGGACCTCGTGAATGGCGTGCCCACCGCCTACCATGACCTCGAGATGCTGCTCACCAACGGGAACAAGCAGCTGCAGAGCACGTACTCGCAGCTGCCCGGGTTCATCCAGAAGTTGATCCAGAAACTGCCCGAGAAGTGGACAGAGACTCTGGCGCCGGAGGTGCTCGCGGCGGCGGCGGCCAAAGCCAGTCAGAGCGGCCTCAACGTCGAGAACGTGGGCAAAGCGGCCGCAGCAGCCAACAAGATGGGCATCAAAGTGCCGACCTTGAAAGAGCTGGTGGGGAAACCGGCCGCGCTGGTTGGAATGCTACGTTCGATCGTGGCATTTCTCCGAGCTCGATTCCCGGCTGTGCTGGGGCTTAATGTGCTATGGTCGTTGGCTTTGACTAGTAGGTTGCTACCTTCATCCTCAATATCGGGTAACTCGACTCACTGATGCCACAGTCCTCCTGTTTGTTCTTTGGTATTGCCACAAGCGCGGCCGTGAGGTTCGGCTGGAGAATGAGCGTCTAGTCACCGAAGAAGAGATTGAGAAGTTGAATGACGAAACCTCCGCAGATCAAGACAGGATCCGGGCCACGGAGACCTTGACCACTACAGCGCCGCAGGGAGCATCTGCCACGGAAATCCGACAGGGGATCGAGGAGGCACAACATGCACGCCATACAGCAGCCGCAGCAGCCAGCCCCGCTGCAGTCGATCGTCAGAAGAGTCAAGAGAACAAGACCCCCGAGGAGTCGTCAACCTCGAAACCTAAGCGGAGCAAGTCCCGGCTTTCAATTTGGACCAGGTCCGAACCGAAATCGACCACCCCAAAGATAGAGCCATATCCTGGCACCTAAATTGGATGATCATCTGAGGAGAGATGGTTGATAGTCACGCAAGAGAGAGAATTTGTTACGAATATTTGTTTGATACCATCACGTCTTGTGTACTTGTTTGGAGTTTCAGGTTCCCTTCTTAACGATGAGTCAATACACAAATCCACTCATATACTGGCCACCTGGCCTTTTCCCTTTCCCTGAAGTCCCAAAAAAAGACGAGAGGGATCCGCGGTTGCGCAACGGAGCGGGCAGAAAGACCCGAGATTGCGGGCGTCTTGTCTCCGGGTGGCGATATCTTCCCAATTCTTTCTGAGGATATCCATATTGCCCGAGGACAGTCCCCACCCGAAGGGTCGACTTCTCGTCGTATCATGTGACTACATAGATCATGATTACCTCAATCTTCAGCAAGGGGCTATAGAACTTACTAGTGGGTAGCACATGACCGAAACGTATCTGCAAGCTTCAACTAGAGTATTCTTATAAGTACTAGTACAGTAGAAGGCCAAATTGACGAGTACCAAGCCGGCCCTTTGATACGATACGATAGATCCATGATTGCGGGGTGCAGGTTTTCCCCCCATATGAGAAAAGTCGTCGTCCGCATTGGCCAATGGGGCTCTGCTCTAGTTGTGGCGGATGGCCGGTCGTGTAGTAAGCCGCGCTCCACCGAGTGCCTGGAAGAACGGTATTACCGGTACGCAGTATCAGTACTGTACCTTTGCCCATGCTGCGGCCGGCCCCATGCAAGATCTCAAAATCTTGACAATCAAAGGGGGGAGACCCGACTTTACTACAGCACTTGAATGTAGTTAGAAACCCGCTGATAGCGGGAAAGTGAAGATTGGACTGGATATCCAATGTTTTGAAGAATGGTTCAGGAAAAGGCATGGAAAGACGCCAGATCTACGGAGCACTCCGGACTTGCGTTTGAGATTGGAGATCAATTGAGGTGAGGTGCTGGGTTATACCTACTACCTACTAGTTTATTCCAAGGGGAAAGCGTGTCCGGATCATCTTGATAGGGATTCTGGATCACTACCGTACTTGTTCCCTTATCCATGGCTGAATGAATACACGTGGTCTTGCTGGGGTGTTTCGGTTTGTTCAATTTGCCGATGCCTCCTTCCCGTCTCCTATTCTAAGCAGGAGAGCCAGAGAAAAATGAAAGATGCGAAGCGGATTTCAATGGACCAGAAATCATTCCATTTCATATCAACGCCCAGCTAACTACTGTAATCTACCTAGGTAGCCAGCTGTCCCCCCCCCCTCCCCCCCCCCCGGGCCCTCCCTCTCCCCTTACCGCTTCTTTGTAACCAATCACATGTAGATGCATGCATGCGCGATGCATGCAAGTATGCCACAGGGCACAGGCTGCCATGCCTACCTACCTAATTATACTCAGCACGTATGGAGGGAGGTATCGTGTGGTCTGGAATTGTCTGCCGCATGTGTCCAGCGCTGTACTGAGTATGAGGGCGTGGTGACTACGTAACTCGCCACCACGGTGGAGAGATGGAGATTGTTTATACCCGGAAGGGTAAGGATCCGGGCTCAAGATCTTCTCATCGTACGGAGTATCATGGAAATTGGAGGAATCGTTGCTGGGTGTGGTCATACGGTTGAGGCGGTCGGATTTGTGGGCGAGGTGTTGGGTTCGCGGGCAATTGGTGAACCACCTTCGTATGTGTATATCAGACTTGGGGGTTCGCTGGTGGAGGAGCTTGGGTGCAGTATTGCGTGATTGTACTGTGCACCGTAGTAGTGATTTGAATGCGTGAGGTCTTGGGGGTCTGGTTTGATGACTCTGTTGTTTCATGATCCAATTGTGACTATGAAAATCGGATTCTGATCCTACGGATGACTGATGTATTCCTAGTTTTGTGGTTGGTGTCCAGACTCAATTGCGGGGAGCTATTGTCTGAGGCGGATGGGTGATATCGCCGCCCCTGGCAGCATTGCCATTGTAACCGCCTCAAAGCTTCGGGGTCGTACACCGTCTTCTCCATCAGATTCTGCATCAATGCATCCTCTGGGATAACGCGGTAGTTGAACCACAGAAAGGGCAGTCTAGCGACTCAGATACTTTGGGAGTATACCTTTTTTAGGCTTCAGACAGGGACAGCAGGACGCTGCGCTGCAGTAGCAACTGTTGTTGTTGTTGCAGGATTCGAATTGCAGGGCGGCAAGGCTGCACCTTTCCCAAAGCAGCAGCACTAAGCCCAGATCGGACTAGACTAGCCGTTCGAAGCTGTGGCTCGGCCAATCTCAGAGCTGGGATTGACCTCATTCCGAGGCCAGTGTGTCCAATCGCCCGCCGCCGCATCCATCCATACAACAGGCAGATTTCTCTCATCCGGCGGTAATCTCGTGTAGAGGTCGGAGGAGATATCAGGAACCCGCGATATACGGGAGGATATGATTCATGCTTCTGTGACGAGTCGAAGTTCCGATCGATGTTTGGGCGCGGGGAGAAGGGGGGAGGGGAGATGGGTTTGTTGTGTCATTGTGCAGGAAGAGACAGATACCAAGACTGAGCACGGTCCAACATGCTGTACAGTCCCTTAGATCAGTCAGTCTTCCTTACTTCAAGAAAAGTGGCTTGAGGTTCGAATAGTCTTCACCCGCCCGCGTTTTGCATGCCACGATATCCGGGATACACAGGAAGGGAAGGGAAATTGCTACGTCCTCGAGCAGAGAGAGGCTCGGGAGAGATCTGCACTCCTGCCTGCATAGCTATGATCTAATCAACCGATGCACTCGTAACTCTGATGGGGGGTTTGCATGGGTCTCTCTGTAGTACCACCAAATAGTACTCCGTACTTCTCTCCACGCGATAGGTGCAGTGACTGACTGTCCGACCAACGTATGAGTCACCCGTTGTTTCTCTCTCGCCTACTGGTGACTCCGTCCGCAGCTCATCATTCTTTTGAAT